GAGAGTTTTTACATCCTTGTCAAAAATTATCTGGTGTTTTGATTCTAGTGGGCATAAATCTTATTATAATTTTAATTTGTACTTTCCCGAGGACAAATGATGCTGAGTATCATTTCATGTGCTTATTGGCTATTCTTTGGAGAAATATCTATTAAAGTTCTTTGCCCATTTTTAAATTGTGTCACTTGTTTTTTGTGTTCATTTGTAGTTTCTTTATATATTCTGGATATTAAACCCTCATCAGATATATGACTTGTAAATATTTTCTTCCATTCTATGGGTTCTCTTTTCACTTCCTTGATGGTACCCTTTGAAGCACAAAATATTTTAATTTTGATGAAGTCCAATTTACCTGGTTTTTCTCTCTTTTTTGCTCATACTCTGGTATCATGTCTAAGAATCCTTTGTCAGATTGAAGGTCACAAATATTTACTCCTATGTTTTCTTTTAAGTCTTTTATAGTTTATTTAACTCTTCAACTTCTTTGAAATATGTTTTATAGCTTTCAAGGTATAAGTTTTGTACTTCTTTTGTTAAATTTATTCCTAAGTGTTTTATTCATTTTGATTGTATTGCAAATAGAATTCTTAATTCTATTTTTGGATTGTTCATTGTAAGTGTATAGAAATACACTGATTTTGCATGTTGATTTTTGTGTCTTAAAAGCTTGCTGAGGGCTGGGGATTTAGCTCAGTGGTTCTGCTGCCTGCTTCAAACACTGAAGGACCCGAGTTTGATTCCCGGTACCAAAAAAAAAAGCTTGCTGAATTCATTTATTAGTTCTAATCCTTATTTCAGTGGATTTCTTAGAATTTTCTATATATAAGATTATGCCATCTAGAATAGAAATAATTTTACTTCCTTTCCCAACCAGATGCTGTTACTTTTTCACTCCACACTGCCGTGGCTAGAACCTCTAGGACAATGTTGAACAGAAATGGCAAGAACAGATATCCTGGCCTTGTTCCTGATCTGGGGGGGGGGGCGGCGGGGAACAAGCAAAGAAACAAACAAACAAAAAAGTCTTTCATCTTTAAGTATTATGTTAGCTGTGGACTTTTTGTAGATGCCCATTGTCAGGTCAAGGAAGCTCCCATCTATCCACACTTTGTTGAGCATTTTTATCATGAAAAGGTGCTCGTTTTGTTAGATAATTTTTCTGCATTGATTGAGATGATTGTATAATTTTTGTTTTTTATTCTATAGTTATATTACATTAATTGATATTTTAATATTAAACCAGCCTTACTTCCTGAAATAAATTTCACTTAACTATGGGATAATACTTCTTTTTACTTGTTGCTGGGTTAATATATTATTCTTTTCCTATGTTGCTACATTTGGTTTGTTAGTGTTTTGTTGAGGATTTTTGTGTCCATATTCATAAGATATTGGACTATGCTTTGCTTTGCTTCTGATATCTTTGTATGGCTGTGGTATCATAATGCTGTTCTTATAAAATGAGGAAATATTTTCTCTTCTATTTTTTGAAGAGTTTTTGAAAATTGATATTAATTGTTCAAGTACTTGGTAGAATTCAGTAGTGGAACTATTTGGTCCTGAACTTTATTTCCTGGATAGTTTGTCTTATGTCTAATTTAGCCCCTTTTTTGTGTGCTGTAGGTCTGTTCAGATGGTTTGTTTTCTTCTTGGGTAAGTTTTGGTAATTTTTTGGGAATTTGTCCATTTCAATTAATTCTCTAATTTGGTGGTCTATAGTTGTTCTTTCATATCCTTTCCCTTTTTTACTGCCTGCAGTACTGGGGTTGAAGCCACTTGCCTCAGGCAAGTGCTGCACTGATAACTTAATAGATTGAATATTAAGGTAGTTGTAGAAGCGAAATAAGTAATGTGTTCTTTTAAGATTTGCTTTTCCCGTAACTCCTTGTTTAAGGTGAGGATCATCTGACTCTAACTTGTGACTTCATTAACCTAACAAAGTTACCCTGACAGGGTGAATTTACAATGTATATGGCTATCTTGTGTCTGTGACTCGTAAATAGGAACTGGAATTGTATTTACATATCAAAGACCACTAGGGATGAGATAATGGCTAAAAAGGATATAAAAAGGGAAATGCTGAAAAAAGGGGGGGGGGGGATACTGACCAGACTGGTTTCTGGCTTTCCCGCCCGCTCATGAGATGAAATTTTATTATTTTATCCAAATTTTGTGTCTCTGTGCATTTCTTTCCAAGATTTCTGCAACAGCACCACTAAGCTGTATCTCCAGCCCTTTTTTATTTTGAGATAAGGTCTCACAAAGTTGCCCACACTAGCTTCAAACCTGTCATCCTCCTACCCGATCTCCCTAGTAGCTGGTATTACGGATTACTGGTATGGTTCTTTCCTATAAAGTAGCTGGCTCCAGTTTAGTCTGTATCTCAAGGTCTTGCCAACCTCTAGTCACCACTCTTGCCTTATTCTTCAAAGCACCCTTGGGCTCAAACTTCACATTTTGTTGCAAATGAAACTGGTTCCTGTGACAATCTATTTTCCTGTGGTGTTTCTCACCCCTAAGCAAAATCTCTGAATCAGTGCTCAGGATCTGGAGTGAGGACATGGAAAGTTTCCCTCTGAATTACACTGTGTTCCAGGAGCTCCATGGAGAAGGGACCCATAGCCTGATCCTCTCTCTTGCCTCTTCTGAGAGGGAGCCAGCACCTCGGACCTCACCTTGACTGAGTACTGGCAGAAGGGAGTCTCTGGTCTCAGTCATACCCACCCTGTGCACTCAGCTTCAGCAATAGGGCCCTGGGGGAGGATGAGGACAGTGAAGTGCTGCCCCTGCAGGGAGAAAGCCCTCTACTGGGGCAGGAAGAAGCCTGTCCTCTTGGCTACAAGGTCTGATGGAGTGTGCCCCTGAGCCTGCCATTCCAATGTCACTCTCTTGCCTCTCTTACTGAATTTTCACAGATTTTCTTGAATAGATGTTTATTTGCCTTTTCCCCTTAAGTTTGCTATTATTGTCTTAAAATATTGTTTCCACTTCCACTAGGGAATGGGGTAGTTAATCATCTCACACTGTCACCTGGAAGCTGATTCTCAGGTAGACTTGGTTTGCTAATTTTCCTTCCAATTTGTTTATTTGCATCTGGATCCCATAAGGTGCACATCACAGTAAGTTGACACATGTCAGCTCTCAGTGGGCTTTTTCCCTCTTCCTTGTTGGAGCAATTGGGTTGTTTTACCTGGAGTTTTCCACACTTTGGTTTTGCTGCCTGAATTCCTGGGTGTCAGTTAATTGCTGTCCACCTGGAAGGGAGACCAGCTTGCTGTACCTCTGAGCTGTATGTACCCTGGTAGGCTCACAGTACAACTTGACAGTGTCTCCAATCAACTGCTCAGAATCTCTCCCACTTCCTGCCCACAGCTTCTCTTACAGCATGTAGGGGCCTGACCATTTTGACCACCCTTTCACACAAAACTGGAAGTGTGGGGGACTTATACCACATCACAATTGATAAATAACTTATCTCTTGGTATAACTGAGATACATCCTGTAAAGTCCCTTGAAGGGGTGGCCTTGGCTGCTCCCAATGGTGGCCACCTCAATAATACCCCTTGGGCAAATTTCCCTTTTTCCCTTCACTCTCCACAGTCTTTCCCTAGAAATGAACCACTCTCATGCAAGCCCTTATCTCAGGCTCTGCTTTGGAAGGACTAAACAAAGACAATCAGATTCAGCCTTAGTGCAAGTCTACTTGGTAGGTTGTATGAACTTCGATCAAGAAAAATCCGATGTCTAGTTTGCTCTTTTTTTGTTATTAGCAGCTGCTGACATCAACAATTTAATTGCTGAACTACAGTGCTTGTAGGAAGGGTAGGGAAAATTCTCTAATTTTCTTCACTTTACCAGTTTTCAGAATGATGAGTCAATTCCTGACATCCTCCCCAGTGTAGCCACTAAATTTTTTTCTTTTTTTGTACCAGGGATCATACTCAGGACCTTGCACTTACAAGGCAGTCGCAGCACCACTGAGCTAAATCCCTGATCTAAAATGTTTATTTTTAAAGAATCATTGTGTGTTCATGGATTTAAGTAATTTGAAGTGTTTCAAACAATTATAATTATTGATCTTATTAATGCTCAAGCTGTCCTACCTTTGCCCAGTGGGACTATGAGTTACCTCCTAATACAAACCCTAGTGTTCCTTAATAACATCATTGATTTCTGAAAAATGATTCTTCAACAGAGCCTCTAATTTAACAAATATGCAACATATCATATGAATTCATGGCAATCCTTCCTGTCCAGATTCAGGACCACAGAGATTTTATTAACTTTGTCTATCTTAAACATGTCTTCTTTCCATGCCAAAATTTCAGTTTTTAACGTTGATCAGGTTATTTAGGACTTCAGACACTTGGATTGTTTTCAGTGTTTAGCTATTAAAAAATGTACTCCAATAAACCTTTTTATGAGCAAATCTTCTGAATTTTTTGGCAAGATGTATTCCAGAGGTCTCTGGAAGAGGACTGCTGGATGAAAGGGGCATGCAGAAGTAATTTTGTTAGCCTTTGCTAAATTATTCCTCCTAGGGGATCCCCACCTGCACCTCACTGCCAAGGCATGCGGTGCCCACTCCCACAGCCTTGGGACAGAAATATTTTTAGCCATGGGGCTTCTGTCAAGTGAAAGTATAAGAAATGGTCCCATATTTATTTCTATTTTTCTTCCTATGACTGAAGTGTTTGTTGTGTGGGGAGGTATGTTTCTCGCATTCAGATGTTGACTTTGCTAAGGGTTATCTAAAAGTGACCAGAAAGACCATTTATGAAAAAAATTATGTTTTTATTTTTAACTTTAGTGGACAAAATTCTTGTTGCCATCTTTGGCTTTGATACTAGAAGAAAAATTGCCATGGTGCTAAATACAGGAAAAAAAAAATGCTTCTTGGGCATTTGTAGCCACAGGCTGACCCTCGTGTGTTTTATAGCTAAAATATCCCATTGCCTTCATAGACAAAAACAAAAGAAAATTAAACGCACACCCAGCACTTTATTTTATTTTTTAATAACAATTTTATTTTTCCAAATGAACAGGTTGTTGGACCTGTTCGTGTATCTTCACCAGCAGGTGGGGTATCACCCTTGGTATTTCTGGTATAAGTACCTTGAGCTCTGTGCTTTAAAACCAGCTTGATAAATCCTTTACTAAGGAGATCCTAAAGGATTATAAGTTTATACCTAGTAACTTTCTTATAGTGTGTCATAAATAGCTTTATCAAACAAGACCAGGTTGTTGAGCTTGTCCTGAACCTTGCATTTGGACTTCTTTTTGGGTTTGCTCCCAGGTTTGTTCACGGGGTTATTATCTTTCTTGATTGACTTTCTGGCATCTTTCTTCTTGTTCTTGATTGGCATCATGGAGCCTGAAGAGCAGCAGTGACCACTGCAGGAGTCTGCAAGTTGAATTTCCTTAAGAAGTGCTTCTGCCACTTGCCACCTAGAGCTCATATCATATTCTACACCAGAGATGTGAGCCTTTCCCAGAGAACAAGACAGCCCACGGCAAATAATTATGATGGAGAATTCCTTTTTCATCAGTAGTACTTTCTCTTTTTTTCTTTTTTTTTTTAAGACAAGGTTTCACTATCTAGCTTAGGGTGACTTCAAACTTGTTATCCTCCTACCTCAGCTTCCCGAGTGCTGGGACTATAGGTCTTCACCATCACACCAGCTTCAGTAACATTCTTCACTTAAGTTTTGCATTCTTTGTTAGGCGAAAAACAGACGACAAATAGTTTTTTAGGTAGGTAAGAAGATAGGATTGGATTGTTATAATTTAGATCTAAAATGTTCCTCAAAAGCCTCATATGCCCAGAGGGGGCTTTTGAAAGGTGATTGGATCATGGGGGCTCTATACTCACCAAAGGATTAATCCATCAATGAGTTTACAGCTGAATGTGCTGGTAGGAGGTGGGGCCTGGTTGTAGGTGTGTCAGTGGGGATGTGACCTGGGTGTATTCTTGTCCCCAGCTCCTCTGTTTCCTGGCTGCCATAGGTGAGCAGTTGACTCTGCCATGCCCCTTCACTATTTCTGCTTTGCAACCTGCTGAATATGGACTGAACCCAATGAAACCATAAGCCAAAATAAACCTTTCCTCCTTTAAATTGTGGGTGTTGAATATTGTGTCTCAGCAATGGAAAAGCTTACTGGCACCATATCCCAGAATGAATAATTCCCAAAGACTACAACACAGTGCTTCTGGGTATCAATACTGCTGACAAGAGAAGTCTGGCAAAACATGCTGCTATAAAAAGAGCTAATGTAGTTGGATGGTTGAGTGATTGTGTCAATTTGAGAAGTTTAGTTAAGGAAAACTTAGCTAAATCAGCTCAGCAATTCTACGCCCTAGGGCATAAGAGGTCCACCCCCGGGCGGGGGGGGGGCATGCTCCCTGCCTGGATTTTATAAAGGGGAAATGAAGAAGGATACAGCTGCTTCTGTTCCTTGGGAGGAGCTTCCATCTTCACCTTGGGCCTTGGACATCATCTGCCTTGCAGCATAGACTTAGTCATCTCGTCTTGCAGTGCAGACTCTTCGGCTTCCACTCAGATCCTTTAGCCAAGTTCGCATCAGGAAAATCACCCGCAGAAAGCTTCTCCAAGAAAATCAACAGCCAACGATCTTCCCCTCCAGCTCTTTTTATGCTGTTGGCAACAATCAAGTAGGTCTTCCACACCCAAACCATGCTGATTCAGTTCAGCTGGCCATTCCAAATTTACCATTAATTAATTCAGCACAACCTACCCCTGATCAATTTGATAACCAGGCACTTTTCCTTGAACCAGTCTCCAGTGATAGATCTGTGAAAAGTTAACATATCTTGATCTCTTCAGATTTACACTAATATAATAATTACATATATATAATTCTTATTACACTCATTTCCATATTATGGCTTCAAATTTTAAAACTCTTTGGGTTTCCATTTACATACAAGATTTAACAACACTTAAACACCTCCCAGGCAATGTCTCTAGACAAAATGCAGACCAACTTCCTGCCAAAGCACAACATACACTGCTAGGATCCAGCAGTCAATGTGGTACTCTAGAGAAGCCTCCTGAGCCTCATCCTCACTGGCAGCATTTCCACAGTACTCTTGATTTTCCAGGCTCTGACCAGAGTCTCCCATATAGTTTAGAGGTACCAGGGTTGCCCCTTTGGTCTGTCTCTCAAAACCTTTCCAGTTTGATTCCCGAAGCTTTTAAGCTTAAACCACATAGCCAGGCAACATCACAGGGATGGCCTCACTCCTGGTACCAATTTTGCTGTAGTCAGGGTTTGCAAGGAAATAGATTTAATACAGGACACATGATTTATAGGATTATTTTATATTATTAACCCAAAAAGTCAAATGCAGAGATCTAACTGCACACTAGAGATCCAAAGAATCCAGCCAAGGGCCTGGATCCCATAGCAATGTCCCACGTGAGTCCAGCTGAAGGCCTGAAGTCCAAGACAATGTCCTCTATGAGTCCAGCCAGTGGCCTAGAGCCCAAGGCAATGTCTCATGCTTGTCCTTATTGAGGATCCACACCGGAAGCTGAAGAGTCTGCGCTGCAAGGCAGGAGATGGCATCCAAGGCTCAAGGCGAAGACGGAAGCTCCTCCAAAGGGACAGAAGCAGCTGCATCCTTCATTTTCCCCTTATAACATCCAGGCAACTTGCCGCCCTGGGGTGGATCCCTCATGCCCTAGGGCATGGAACTGCTGAGCTGATTTAGCGAGGCTTCTCAACCAAACTTCTCAAGTTGACACACTCAACCATCATAATGGTCATGCTAGGAGCTGGTATCAGGGGTGCATTATTTTGGTTGTACAAGAAGAACAAGCAGGAGTCCGAGGAATGAACTCTCTTCCCCTATGAAGCCTCCTAAAGAAACATGGGAGACAGAATGGTATTTCTTGTTTGTACTTTTTTAATGCATTTCTGGTTTCCCAAGAGGCCATACCCACCCGACTAGATGCTCATTTCCCACACCAAAACAGTGTACACTGTAGGTCTCTTTGTCCATACACCAGGACCCGTACTTAAGGTTTCAGGGTTTTTCCTTGAGCACTTTGTGCTTGAGTTTTCAGTACCCGAAGCACTAGTGACTATGTTTTGTGGTCACTATGTGGCCATCTTCCAGATTCAACCACATTGAAAGCCCAAAAAGAATAAGCTGTGAGATGAGGCAGGGAGAGACTGGCTAGCCAACGTCTTAGCACAGAAGGGTGCAGCTGCATGATGGTAAGGACAGAGCCTCTACCAGGCCTGGCCCAAGGCCCTGACTTTATTAAAACATGCTCACTTTCTCCAGTACACACTTCTATGTATCTCCATGCTCCACATGCCTGCCTGATTTCCTGATTTGCTTTTGCCTATTATGCAATCTCAAGTCACATGCTTTTCTGATATCCACACAATTGCTACGCAGGCTTCTGCCTGCTGTCACTGTCCCTGTCCTTCCTGTAGCATTTATCCATTATCCTCTCAGGAGACTTCCTTCTACATCCCTTCCTGGAACCATGTCCCAAGGAAGTTCACTGGCTGGTGTGACACAGGATGATCTGGGTGTCTCTCAAAGTCACAAAGGTTAAGGACTAGTGACAGTCATACCTGACCCACTCACTGCCTCTAAGAGGCTCTGAGACTTTATAATTTCTGTAAGAATCAAACAATGAAAACAAAATGCTTCTGGCTGATAACTGCTCATGTCCCCATCAAGTTCAACAACACAGAAACAAGACTAAAGACCATCAGTGAAGAATTTTTTTTATGTTTTTAAAAAGGTCATTCTTAGGGTAGTCCTTGCAGAGGGAGGTAGGTAATCTCTCCATCTTACTCCCTGCAGTGCTTCCCAGTCATTTCTGCAGCTCCCTTACTGTCTCTGATAATAGCTGCTGAGTCTGAGTTGCTCGTGGAGGACCAAGACATGGAGGGCCACAAAGCCCCAGTCCAAGGGCAACAGCACCAAAAGTGACAGGAAGGCCTTGACAGATACCATCTCCTGCAGGAGGTTATGTTTCTCTGTCCTGGTCTGCTCAGATGTTTGGTTCTTTCTCCCCATCAGTGGTGTTTATTTCTTTTCTTGGTGCTTTTAAACCCTCTCAATGCACCCTGGCCGAAACAGATGGTAGAAGGTATTCTGGAATGAAAAAAAGGTTCATACTAAATGGTGTTTCAGAAAAGGTATTTCATTTGCCAACAAGCAACCCAACTATAATAGAAGGCTTTAATGTGTTTACTTCTTATTCTGGAATGTTCTCTTTCTCTTTTGCTCTGTAGATCATTCAGGAAGAAGCGTTGGCCTTCTGGCCCTACTATCTCAGACCTGCTTCCTATGGGAGATTCTCTCAGGTACCAGTGTGCACTCTCTTGGGGGAGCTCAGCCCGGAAAGCCTGCTCCTGCAAAGCTCCTGCTATACAAACTTCCTGTTACCCACTGTCCATTAAAACCTAAGCTCCTAGGGCCGGGGATTTAGCTCAGTGGTCCTGGTGCCTGCCTCACAAGCACAAGGTCCTGAGTTCGATTCCCTGGTACCAAAATAAAACCAAAAAAACCTAAGCTCCTAGCAGCCATGAGAAGGCAGCTGAAGGCTATACATGCATATTTTCCTGCCAGTTCATATTCTTTGGCTACTTTCCCCAAACTTGAGGTTGCAGTCCATTTTAAGCCAATATTAGAAAGACAGTCTGCAACTGAGGCAAGTTCCAGTGAAGGTTCTTTTTGTCCAGCCTAGATAATGGCAAAAGAGGTAACACTTCCATTTCTGGGCTTCAGAGTCCACAGTACAGAATGCCAAGGAAACTGGAACCTTCAGGCTTTCAATTCCACAGACATTAATATTCTAACCCCATTTTACTTTCTTTTAAAAAGGCTGCGAGCCAAGGGTCAGAACACACATTGTTTTAGTAAGGTGTCTAAACTAACCTGTGATTGTAGGTCCGCCTCTCACCCACTCGTGCTGGGGTCAGTGACGTGGGTTCACAGCAGACTTCCATAGCATCCCCATCATCCGCCAGGGTTCTGGTGGACAGGTCTGCAACAGTCTCTGGCGTGGCTGGGCTGTGAGGACAGAGTAGTAAGCAGCAGCTCTACACAGCTCCTGTAGCCCTGGATTCACCCAGAAATAAATTTCCAAGAAAAGGACTTTTCTTATGATCTGGCATGGTCTTTAATTTTATAGTGCTATTTTCAGGCCACTAGAAAAAAAAAAATGCTATGACAAGATTATTGTTTGCATAAATCCTAAATTTTAGAAATTTAATTATAATGATTACACTTTGTTTTTTGAAAATAGTATTTTTATGATACTATGTAGAAATGCCAAGCAATAATGCCAAACATCTTGCATGATGGAAATATTTTCTAAAATTAACCAGAGACTATAAGTCAGTCTATTATCAATGTGGCGATCAGCATTGCAGGGTTTTTCTCTTTAAAATAATCTCATAGGGAGAAAATTACTGAAAACTTAGGTTTCTATGCAGCCTCCCACATTGCAGTAGGTTCGTCAATTATTTTACTTTAAACAGCAAAATGCTACTTGGGAAAACAACAAGTCTGAAATGACTCCAATCAATGCGGTGTTTATATGGTTATAAAGGTTTCCCTGAAAAGAATCATTTAAAAAAAAAAAAAGAAAGAAAACACTATAAATTATTCCTTGTGGTTTTTCCATGGTGTACCCTCATGTGTTAAGCATGGTTATTTGTCAAGTTTCTAAACCTAGGGGCAGGGGAAAAATGGAAACCCACAGGACTCTATGGGCTAACAGCCTGGGATGAATCTCAAATGGCCCTGCTTCCAGCTTCAGAGGGCTGCCCCTCCAGCCTCTGTGATGAGCTGAGGGGGTGGAGGTGGGGTGCAAAGGAGGTACTGCCCAAGTATGAGCAGAGAAAGGAAATGCCTGAACGGCTACACCCCCTATCTCTACCTCCTAGCCAGGAACTCCCCTCTAGTCTCCCTTCTGTGGGAGGAGACCCGTATTTGTGTAACCCATTTGGATACTAACCCCTATCATCAGAATTTCAGCTACCTGTAGATAGGTATCACATTTGGGTTGACTACAGGGTTGAGCTTATGCTGATGACTTTCCAAGACAGAGGGCGGTAACAGCACAGTCCCCCACGTACCCTCTGTTAGTCTTGGGCTTATCAAACCGGAAATCTGCAGGGTAGAGATGGAGCCTCACCATGTGATCCTTCCGATCCTGCGTGGTCTTGAATTTCTCAGGGCAGCCTTCAACCAAGCACTGGTACTAAAAAGGACAGCATATCACTACCCTGGTCCTAGCCCCCACCATGCACGTGCCAGGGCTATTCCTGCCACATACCATGTCTTGTCTTTCTGCCAGGATCTGGAAGAGTGAATCATGCCACTCCAGAATGTGGGTATCCAGCAAATGCTCAGAGGGGAAGGCCCGGCTACACAGTGAGCAGGCATTCCCGTGCATCATATGGTAATGGTGCTGGTAGTCCTCCAGAGCAGCAAACACTTGGCAGCAGCCAGCCACCTGACAGGTGAACTCAGGCACCCTGGGAAAGGAGACCTGTCTCACCAGAGTCAATTCGAGCAGGACTTTCTTCCCAGATGCCCGTTAAGAAGCCCGGTTCAACCCTGGGAGTTTCCTTACGGTCCTAGACCCTACTTTCTGGGGGGGACAGGGTCTCACTATGTAGTCGAGGCTGGCCTGGAACTCGTGACGATCCTCCCACTTCACCCTCCCCGAGTGCAGGGATCACAGTTGTGTGCGACCACGGCCGGCCTGATCCCTACTTTTTTAAGAATTAAATTTCTACAAACATAATTCGTTGAGAAGGCAGCCAAAACAAGATTGTATTCTGTTGTAGGCAGGAGGCAGGGCAATAGCAAGTGCCTGGACCTGGAGGTTTGCCTCCAAGGGATCTGAGCCTTCTGCTGCAAGTAGCTGCGCCGGGAGAGGCCAGGGGGCGGCACCAGGGAAGAGGCGCGGGTTGAGGTGCTTACCTGGATTTCTCTGGCGCCTCGGCCACCTGTGTAAGCACATCCTGCAGGTACAGGTGCCGCTGCACGTCCCCATCCTATAGAAGACAAGCGCCATGGGCAGCGCTCGGGCCTAGAATCTTGGTCTCCCCAGCCTGGAGTCAAGAACCCCCAGCTTCCGCTCCGTCCCCGGCGCACCACAGCATTATATCCCGCCCTCCGCGCTAAGCGCATCCACACTGTCCGGCCCGCACCGCCGCCGCCAAGCGCGCCCACAGGCTCAGGCCCCGCCCCCACCTCGCACTCGGGCGCCCCTCAGACCGCGGCCTTCGTCCGCCTTCACCCACGCACCTCGAAGAACTCATGTTCCCTCGGGAAACGCACCAGACGCGGTACGAAGCGGAAGGGCGCCGCTCGGGCCTCGGGGTTCCGCTCCACCGGCAGCGGCTCGGCTGCCCCAGGCGCCCCAGCCACGCGGGCCCGAAGTGCCGTGGGGAGCAGCATCGCCCTGGGCACCGGCGGCGCAGCCTGTCAGCCACCGTCCGCGGGGCGGGGCCGGACGTGACGTCACGCGCTTCCCAGTCGCCGCACGGACGGGGCGCGGCCGGTCGCGGTGAGTCTCTGCGGGGCCCTGGAGGCCGGAATCTAGCGCGAGTTGCGCATTGCAGAGTCCTGGTCGGAGCGGCGGGGGCGGGGCGGGTCCTAGGGTTTGGGGCCGGAGCCCGGGGGCGGTGAAGAGTCTGGCGGGTCCGCGAGCATCTTTTCCCGCCCTCCGCTCCCGCCTGTTCTGCAGCCACTTGGCCCGAAGCTAGCTCCTGGCTCGCCCCCAGCGCTTGCACCCGCTGGATCCGGCCGCCTCTGGCCTTTTCCAGTGCCTCTTATAGTCGCCCACCCGGAGCCAGTGGTCTTTGGGAAGTTCCGGTGTGTGGGACCCTTCTCTCCTTACAGCCCAGAGCCCCAGGCCAGCCTGTGATTGCAATCTGCCTTTCTATTTCTAGTCTCCTAAACCTGGCCGCAGCAAGTGCTTGGTGTTCAGGGCTGAAACGGTCAGGAGCTGTTCCTGCCACTCCGAAGCCCGCTGCCGCGCAGGAGAAACAAATGCCGGAGGAAACCTTTACCTAGTCAAATGGCGACTGAGGGCACACCGGGAGGGCCTAGTGCTTGCGATCTGCAGGGGAACATGGGCGCCTGGATTGAGCGGGGCTTGCATGTACATGTGTGCAAACTGAAGGAAGAGGAGTCACTGTTTCCCTTAGTGGATAAATTAAAACTTTCTTGTCATTTCACCCTTAAAAATGAAGGTTTGGGCTGGGGATTTAGCTCAGTGGTTCCGCCACTTGCCTTGCAAGCGCAAGGACCTGAGTTCAATCCCCAGTACCAAAAAAAAAAAGGTAAAAATGAAGGTTTGTGACTATGTCCCCAGTCAATTTTAGGCCTAGAAGAGCTTCAGTAATCTCTGTAGCACATGAGTTCCTGACATTTCACAAGTTGTAAAATAACGTTTTTTCAGGACAATTTATACAATTCGCTTGGAGCCTTTAAGGGCCTTCTTCACTTCCCTCCTTGTTTTAACCACTGTTCACTGGGGGTGTGCAGCTAATTTGTTCCTGTTGGAATGTAACCTACGCACCAGATAAGTTCTCTTCAGTCGTGGACATCTGTGGTGACTGATAAGAGATAGGGACTTAGGAGCATCAAAAAGGTCCTTACTGGACTTGGGATTTTAGCTCAGTGGTGCCGCTGCCTGCCTCAAAAGCAAAAGGTTCTGAGTTAGATCCCCGGTACAAAAAAAAAAACCGAAACAACAACAACAACAAAGGTCCTCACAGTAAGCTATAGCAGTTGATCAAACTTGTTCACAGCTGTGCTCTCCAGTGAGGACACTGGTATCTTGGCTGTGAGAGGACAGTTGTGTCGACAGCATACCGGCCCTTGCACACCCTTTCAGTTATTGTGAAAACCAAGAGTTGTCCCAGGGTATTTCCAGAGGTTCTAGGAGAGATACTCCTTGAGAGCTGTCTTCTTGTAGGAATTGCCTTCCAACTCGGGCAGAACAGGATTAATACTTGTGGGAGTATTTGAGCGTTTGTTTGCACCTCAAAAGTTTCCTGAAGACAGTTTTAAAATAAGTATCCACTTAGATGATCTTTCCTCGGGAATAGCTCTCTATTCTTATATATGGTGTAGGGTGCTTTGCGATTGTGAGAACTTACCTGGCCATCTAACATGACCAAAATAGGCCAGCCATTACAGAACAATCTGCAGGCCTCTGAAAGCCTTATAGAATGTGGGTAAAGCTGATTGCCCTTGGATTCAAGAAGTGTGTGGAGAAGTTTCAATTTGTTTTTCTGCTTTGCAAGTAGCTTACAGTGCTTCATTTAAGGGCTCCTTATGACTCATAAGAAGGTAACTGTCAGTTTAAATCTCTTGATTCAGGCCCAGTTTTCCTTTTGTAAAACTAACCATTTCCCAGATAACAAAATAAATGTTTCCAGATGGTTGGCCTTTTGTAGTAACAGCAACAATGCTTGTTCTGGCTTTCCTGCTGACAGTAGCACAGGTGTTTACTACTTGATTCCTTCAGTACTTTATAAGAATGATTTTTGAGTTGAGCATGGTGGTGCATGCCTATAATCTCACCATTCAGGAAGATGAGTCAGGGGGATCACTGCTAGCTCAAGGCCAGCCTGGGCTACATAGCGAATTCAAGACCAACCTGAACTACATAGCAAGACCCTATCTAAAAAAGAAAAAGGAAAAAAAAATTTTATTTAATCTCCACAGAAACTCTGTGTAGATATACAGTATTACTCCCCCTCTTCAGTGGAAGCTTATAGAGGACAAGCTCCTTGCTGGGGGACCACAGCCCACGTGTGGCTCTGAGGGTCAGAATGCCTGGTACGCCACAGCGCATGCTCAGGTGGTCTTGAATTTCTTACTTGGCTGTGATGAGCGTCTCTTAATTGGAGTGTGCTGGGAACTTGAGCACCAGTTCAGGCTTATCCTTCTGCTTTCATTCCTGAAAGCACCTACCTTGACCAGTGTGGATGTTTATATGCCAAGAAATTATTGTCCATCGTACAGGGTAAAAGTGTAGTGCTTAAGGTCGAGTTCCAAGTTGATATTCCCTAGTGATTTCACATACTCCAGGAGTGTGTGGTGAGTCTCCTGTCCTTGACACTGTTTAACCTACGGCTTGTGTTAACACTGGATATGTCAGCACAGTGATTCTTAACCTCGCGTAACCTCAGAAAGTGGCAGGAGCAATGGGATAAGTGTGTTCAAAGTAAGGAAGAGTACTTTGAGGGGGATTGGGGGATTGGTAGCAATACATCTTTTACTGTAATAATTTTTAATGTAAATATTTGCCACATATTTTGATCACATCTCATTAAAAGTTTATGTGAAGTCCATAAAATTTGCTTAGGCCTGTTTTTGAATCTATGGCTAATGCCCATGTATATTTGTAATAATGGCTTTCATCAGCACTCCTGATAATGGCTGACTAACCCAGATGTCAGTGGGAGAGTGGAAGTCCCTGTGCAGTCGGCTGCTGCCCACTAGGATATTAGTTAAGAATCCCCTGTGCTATTTTGCTGTCTCCTGGGGACATCAGGTAAGGTTTTGGTCTCAGAGATTTTTGTGTTTAATGACAGACTCTAGTACACAGCAACTGACAGGGCAGACAGCTGTGATGGAGCCATCCAGCTCAGGCGCATAGTGAATGTTCAGAAATCTTGCCCCAAACATCTTTGTTGTCAGGCCTGAGCCAGAGAAGAAGCCATCCCAGGTTCCTGAGTGCAGTAAGGATGCAAAACTGGAGGTGTGGTTAGAACTGCTGCTGAATAGTTCAGGGTCTGAGAACTGGGCATAGCCTCAGGTTGGAGCTTATTTTAATATCTGTGTAGGGATAGGGGCAATGGCCACAGCCCATGTAAGCTCCCTGTGTAGGTCCTGGGCCTTCCAGTAGCAAGACCATTGTGTCTGCCCAGCTAGAACCACAAAGCTCTTCCCACAGTCCACTGAAACAGCAGAACAGCTTCCTCTTGTCCTAGGACCATCTGTGGATGAAGTCACACAGCAAAGGAGAGGAGAGCCTGTGGGGACCACTCATATAACCTATCTGGAATGCTTTCTAAGCTGTGGAGTAGGGTGGGAATGACTGATGATAGCCAGGATTCTGGGTTGCTGAAGAGGTATGCCATGGGTGAATGCCTTAAGGATGGCTGGCACATAGCAGTACATCTGTGAGGGAGAGGTGGTAAGGGAGCAGACAGCTACAGGAAGGTGGGGGCTAGGCTAGGCCTGATAATGAGTCCAGAAATTGGTCAAATTTGAATTTTTAAATTTTTGTATAAGGTTTTAAGTTGAATGTCTAGAGATCTTTTACAAGAACACCTTGTGATATTGATGTCTCAGGGCTAAAACCATGAGTGAATTTCGGATTCACCATGATGTCAATGAGCTGCTCAGCTTGCTGCGAATCCATGGAGGGGATGGAGCTGAAGTCTACATTGACCTGCTGCAGAAGAACCGGACCCCATACGTCACAACAACTGTCTCTGCCCACAGTGCCAAGGTGGGTGACTGTCTCTGATGAAGGACACCGGGTAGGAGCCTATCCCTGGTTCAGGGTTGTGTCTGGTGGGTATTGGGGGGGCAGGGATCTGGCAGCCACAACATTGCCAGTGACTAAGGCACTTTTCAGCTGTTTCCCATGGGCCAAGTACATCTTCTAAATCTTCAGTAAAACATGGATTTGAATTTGAAATTTATTTCTAAGACACATATTGTAAAGCTTCATTCACTTAAACAGCATAATGATGACACTAAGACAGTTAGAAAAACTGAATGGAATAGAATTTAGGAATACATGCTTTTCTCTTTTATGATACTGGGCATTGAACCCAGGGGCTTCACATTGAGGCACACCCCACCCTTTTTTGGGATAAAGTCTCACTAATTTACCCAGGCTGGGCTTGAACTTGTGACCCTCCTGCCTCAGCCTCCCCGATTGCTGTGATTACAGGCGTGTGCCACCACACCTGGCTCACACACTTGTATTTAGTGTATTGTCAGGGCCAATTATAAATCACTGAAGAAAACAGCCATGAGCTGGTACATAACAATAAATTCTAGAGGGACTAGAGTCAAGGTGTGAAATGAGAGGAAATACAGAACATTGACACAACATTTAGATGAGTTTTTTTAGTTATACTTCAGACATGTGTGATTATTTAGTTCAGCTAATTTAACTCCATTTTGGTTTTCGTGTTTTTCTTGAAGGTTTTTTGGTTTTTATGTTTTTTCTAGTGCTTGATTAACTGTTGTCATTAAATCACTCACATTTGTGCTTTTAAGGTCAAAATTGCAGAATTTTCTCGTACTCCTGAGGACTTTCTAAAGAAATACGATGAACTGAAATCTAAAAATACAAGGAATCTCGACCCCCTGGTGTACCTGTTGTCAAAACTCACAGAAGACAAGGAGGTAAATGCCCTGTGCTCCCCCTGTTAGTGCACCTGTCATGAGCACATTGGGAACATTCGGTCATGGCTTGGAAAAGTAGTGCACAGTGCTTGTTCCCCATGAAGCCTGATGGAGTGCAGACCATGCCTCACACGTACTCACATTCCTTCTACCCACCTTGCTCCCTTCATTCACCAGCCCCTCCCTGTCTCATGCCAATAACACTTTGAGAACTTTTTTTTTTCTTTTTGAATCAAAATGAACAATACCCAGGATGGACATAAATGTGACATTGGTAGTAGTGACTCTGGGGGTGGAGCATTTTAGCTTTACGAAAATCATGCCATGGGCCGGGGATTTAGCTCAGTGGTTTCACTGCCTGCTGCACAAGCGCAAGGACCTCAGTTCGATCCCCGATACCAAAAAAACCCCAAAAAAACAAAAATCATGCCTGACTCCTGCCTGTTTCACATTTCTCATATCATTGTGGAGGAGACAGCAAATAACCTGCTAGGTCCCTCTTCTTGCTCACTGCTGAAGGGGTGCACCAGGCACTTGTAGACCACCAGCATGAGGACAGTTAAGGGGAGGTGATGGTTGCTGTAGCCCAGGATCCATAGGTGGAGTGTAGAGAAAAGCTCATCTTTGAGGGCAAAGTTACCCACACGTAGGTGTTTCAGTTAGGAGAAAAGGGAGAGGGCTTTGCTTTGCCAAGCCAGGTACACACATACTGACCCAGTGTGAATATAGTTTTGTGTGTTTTCAGACTTTGCAGTATTTGCAGCAGAATGCGAAAGAAAGAGCTGAACTTGCAGCCACTGCTATGGCCAGCAGCACCACCTGCTTTAGTGTTCCTACCACAGCATCCAAGATGTCCATGCAGGAGCTTGAGGAGCTGAGGAAGCAGCTCGGCAGTGTGACCACAGGCTCCACACTGCAGCAGGTACCGTGTTCGCCAGAGTTCACAGAGGCAATGCTCGAGGCATGTCTACTGTTCGTTAGACATGGGTCTGAGCCAGGCATGCTGTTGTATGCCTGTATTCCCAGCACTCTGGGAGGCTGAGGCTGGAGAACTGTTAAGTACAAGCCTAGCCTGGGTGACTTCACAAGACTCTTAAAATAAAAAAAGGACTGGGAATATAGCTCAGTGTGAAGCCCCAATACCAAATAATAGAGAAATGAGCCTGATCTTGAAGGGGCTGATGCTGAATCATGCCATTTATTTAGGAATTCTTCACCACAAAAATCAATATTTCCAATAGAAGGAAAAAATGGAAACAAAGCTTTTGTTCATAGGGAGAGGAGGGGGCTTGAGGGGGGAATGGGATAAAATAAAATTTATTTTAAAAATAAATAAATATTTCCAGTGAGGTTCTGGTAAGATCCACCTGCAGCAGGTGGTTACATGAATCTGAGCCAGCATAAGTCACAGCTCCTTCTTAGAATCTGTGACAGTTCTTTTGTTATTGCTGTTGTTGTTTTTATGTTTTGTTTTTTGTTTATTTATTTTGAAGTAGGGCCTTGCTATGTATTTACTGTGTAGTCCAGGCTGGCCTCAAACTTTTGGCGATCCTTCTGCCTCAGCTTCCCAAGTGCTGGGATTACAGGTGTGCACCATCACGCCCAGCTGTGACAGTTTTGGACGTGATAATATTTCCAGATTATTAGGGTATATTTTCTGGCTAATTTTCTCCTGCTGTACTTGCTGCTGCTTCTTGGCTTATGTTCTACTCTGGTCTCTTTGATGTGAGTCTCAGATGTTTTCTTGTGCTATTGTACCCTCAGACCCCTCTTCAGAGCCACATCCCTGCGATGTGTCCTATCCTTCATGTGCACGCTGAGTGCAGCAGTGCTCACAAAGACACAGACAGGTTAGGTGTGTCGTGTGCAGGTCACCTGCTGAGCTGTCCCTCACACCACCATCCCAAGTGACACATAAGGAACCGGGCTCCCTCCCAAGTCTGCATGCCCCTCAGTGACAACCCAAGTTAGTGCTTCCAACAGCTTGCTAGCCAGTCATACTTGGCTGCCAGGCTCCTGTAGAGGCAGTGCTCTGCATACATGCCAGCAGCTGGCTGCCTGGTGCTGCTTTCTAGATCTGTCCTGGGGCCTTCTCTAGCAGGTGAGGAGTTGCCAGTGCTATCTTCCCGAAACAAATGGTATTAGATTTAATCACTGCTAGGAACAAACAGTTCAGGCTTTTCCTAGCTGCCCTGTTGCTGGTGCTCCTGACTAACCTGTGAGCCATTATGGACTGAAACTTTGAGTACAGAGACTGGATCTTTCTATATCTTTTATTCCCCAGCCCTTTGCTTTGTGATGGGCAGATAGAATTGCATCTCATTTTGTCTCAATTGAATCATATATGTTAGATGATTGACTTTTCTATGCCAAAGTTAAGTTCCATGGAGTTTGTAGTTTTATTTGCACTAAAATATCTCTTTCTGTTTTTCTTTTTAAAAATGCTCTTGCTAGTCTCTAGAACTTACAAGAAAGATGCTCCGAGACAAGCAAAACAAAAAAAATTCGGGCCAGCACCTCCCTGTCTTCCCAGCATGGGTGTATGAGAGACCTACACTCGTTGGAGATTTCCTGATTGGTTCAGGTTTAAGCACAGACACAGCTTTACCTATAGGTTTGTGGCATTTTTATTTCTAACATCAATAAGTTCATATCACATTTGCTTGCATCGTGATGCCTCAACAGGGAAGAAGGCCATGGGTGACATGCTGAAGCCCAGTAGCAGGGCGGTGGGCAGCACTGGCCCCTCACCCAGGCTTGCCCTTGTGCATGTTACAATGATTGAGGCTGACTGGCTGTCCTCTTCAACATTCCATCCCTATTTACCAGGAAATAGTGACTCACTGGGGTCTTCAGCTGGCTCTCTCCTGCCTCTCTCCAGAGTGGGACAGACTGCAGCTGCCTCTCCCAAGCTGTGCATCCTGGTAGTCTGATGGGGGGTGAGGGACACTTTTCTGAATGGCAATTAGTGATTACATGGATCCTGCTGGGACAGTGCTAGTGTTAAAACTATGCCGTCAGTGGCCTTAAAGTCACATCTCATAAACAACATTATCCAGGAAGACTGTTGGGGATCTGGGATGTGTACATTGGCAGGCTGTATACAACAATTCCTAAGTCCTTTTTTAGATTGAAAAATGAGACCTCACAGCATATTTGCAGCAGGCTTCTTCTTTGCTCACAGCCCAAATTCAAGAAGAGATGGGGAGTTGGTATAGAGGGGTCTGCCTTTGCCCTCAAAAAACCCTGCAAGACTACAATGTGAAGTACAATATTTTTCTCTTGTCCCTAAAGAAATATGATTCTGCAATAAGTTAATGAGAAAGTGTAGGAAACAATGTACTTTGCATCGTATGTTTTCAGTAGTGACCTAAGCTGTTAGAATTATTAGGAGAGACAGGTGTGCTCAGCTTTAATTCAGCTGAGCAGGGCAGGCAGAGCGGGGACCTTCACAGCTCCAAGACATTGGGGCACCTAGGGTGAGGCCCCTGTGCTAGGGAGGGTTGTGGCCTGTGGCATTTCTTGTCACAGAGCTCCCTGCACATGGACAGAACTAGAGAAGTTTCTACCAGGAGAGTTGGCAGGGTGCATCCTGTGGCCTGGACACTGGTGTGGCAGACCATTCCTGTTATTATCAATGTAAAAAGACAGAAGATTCCAGACCCCACAAGAGACCTGACCAGGACCCTTGGGGGAAGCAGAGGATGTCTGAGCCTCTTGGGTGTTGCCTTGATGGAAAAAAGGATGGATGGGGCCTGACACTTGGGCTTTTCAGAACAAGAAGGTCTTAGGGCTCTTTTAGGTAGATAACGGCTTTTCCTCATTCAGAGAAAGAGTTGTACAAAAGAGGACCGAGTCATCAAATGAGGCAGAATACAATCAGCTAAACTGAGAACTGGCAAGCAGCTTGAAGCAAGTGTGTGGGTGCAGCTGTGGGCTGAGTGGCCTGGAACCCTTAGTGACGTGTGCTCAATGCTCTCGGCATTCTGTAGCCACATGCTGCGTGTTCCAGGAGGTGGCATCACATCTGGCCCATCCCCAACCCAGCTGCCATGTGAACAAATTCACCTGAAGCCTTACCTCATGGCCTGGTCACTCTCACTACAAGAGCTTATGTGGCCTTTGGCCAGCATCCTCTGGAAAACATGGCTGGAGCTGGTGTGAGAGGTACACAGGCTGACCCTTGGAAACTGCTTGGGATGTGTGGCAGAAGGAAGCCACTCATTCCTCCTGTTCCCATCATGCTTCTCTTGCTCAGTATATCAGTATCTACCTGGTCATGTCCTGGCCTGTCACCTGACATAGGCATTCTCCCTCTTGACCTCTGACTTGCTCCTCCATCTCTGTGGGCACTCGAGCTACCCAAGCAGCCGAGCATCAGATAACAGTTGTTTTTTTAAAAGTAAAACCTCAGTATTCAGATTTGATTGCAGTGTTGGCACTTTTCAATAAATAAATGAGTTTTAGGCACTCAAGTCTAAAAGGTTCTCCATTACTGACCCAGGGCATTCACACTGAGCTACATCCTCAGCCATTTTTGTTTTTTTCAGACAAGGTCTCCCTAAGTTGCCAGTGCTAGGTTCAAACTTGAACTCATGGTGATCCTCCTGCCTCAGCCTCCCAGAATGTTGGGATTCTGGGTGTGCAGCACCATGCCCAGCTGATGTGATATATTTTTTAAGTAAATCTTTGGCTGGGCATAGTGGCACATGCCTATAATCCCAGCACTCAGAAGGCTGAAGCAGGAGGATCACCATGAATTCAAGGCCAACCTGGGCTACACAGTAAATTTAAGACCAAACTTGAACCACATAGTGAGATTCTTTCAAAAAAAACCAAAGAAACACAAAAACAAAAAACAGTATGGGTCTGGGGATATAGCTCAGTGGCACTATGCCCACTGGCAAGCACAAGATCCTGAGTTCGATTCCCAGTACTGAGGAGAAAAAAATAAAGGAGATCTTTTTAATTTGAGAGCAGCCCACTTTTCAAGTTGTGATTATAAATTTTGCATGCTAGACTTATTCAGAGTGCTTTGAACTCCTGGCTACATCTTGTTGAGTGTCTAAGTGTATCTTTTGGTCGGCTCAAGAAGGGCTTGGCAGGCTGGGCAAGATGGCTTACAACTGTAATCCCAGCTATTTCTAAGGGTCAAGGAAGAAGTAAAGCAAGTTCGCACCCAGCCTGAGCAACTGAGTAAGACTGTCTCAACATATATTTTTCAAGGGCTGGGATGTGGCTCAGTGGTATAGTGCTTGCCTAGCATGTTTAAGGCCCAGGGTTTGGTCCCCAGTATTGCTGGGGTTTGGGGACAGCATGCAGAAGGCCCTACTGCTATCCACATGCCTGTCCTACCACCACAGGGATTGGTGTCTGCTAGTGGTTCTGCAGTGGGACCCATTGAAGCCATAGGCAGTAGCTCTCTTCTCCATCCATAAATGTATAAGGGGTTACATAAAAGGAAATGAGTGTAAGCTCAGTTATGGTCAATCAGTGAGATTGGAGGTGGTCAGGGATGTGAGGAGCCCGGGAACCCAGCAGTGTCTGCCCTGCAGGAGCACTGCCTTTGGCCTCCCAGGAGTCGGCAGTGGTGGAAGACCTGCTCTACGTGCTGGTTGGTGTGGACGGCAGGTATATCACTGCTCAGCCCCTGGCTGGGAGACAGAACCGCACCTTCCTTGTGGATCCCAACTTGGACCTGTCCATCCGAGAGCTGGTGAATAGAATACTCCCTGTGGCTGCCAGCTATTCCACTGTGACCAGGTAGGCCTGGCTTGACTGGCCTCATGTGCCCAGACCCAGAACTTGCACTGTGGAGGGGAGGTCAGGTTGCAACCTCTTCTGAAGCAGTCTCTCTCTGGCTTGTGACAGCCTCTGGCCTGATACATATTGAAAGGCCTGTGTGTCACTGACCCCTGTCCTGATTCACCGCTCTTTGTAGCATAGGCTCCTCTCTGAGGATAAGAGCTAGAATGAGTCATTTCCTTTCTGGCTGAGAATTGGACTAGGAACTTTTGAGCTTTTATCTAAAAATGTAGCTTTTTGTTAAAAAATAAATTTTATTTTATCCCATTCCCCACCTCAAGCCCCCTCCCCTCCCTGTGCACAAAAGCTTTGTTTCCATTTTTTTCCTTCGATTTTCACTTTTTTTCTTATCCTTTCCTTCCTTTCTCCCTCCCTCCTCCCTTGTTCCCCTTCCCATTTGAACATTTTCTTCACATTTCCCAACATCCATTATACATTTCAGTCCTTATCTTCACTTATATTTCACTCGGTTTCTCACACCAGAAAAACAATGCAATATTTAAACATGTTAAAAATGTAGCTTTTGGGCTGGGGATTTAGCTCAGTGGTTCTGGTGCCTGCCTTGCAAGCGCAAGGTCCTGGGTTTGATCCCTGGTACCAAAACCAACCAAACAAACAAAACAAAACAAAATGTAGTTTTTGCCTTTTCAAGGATATCTAATATGTTTCCTGTAGGTTCATTGAAGAAAAGTCTTCCTTCGAGTATGGGCAGGTGAACCATGCCTTGGCAGCTGCCATGAGAACTTTAGTAAAGGAGTACCTGATCCTGGTCACACAGCTGGAGCAGCTGCACAGGCAGGGACTCCTGTCACTACAGAAGCTCTGGTTCTACATCCAGCCAGCCATGCGCACTGTGGACATCCTGGCCTCTCTTGGTATGTGCCCACCTGATGGAGTGCAGCAGGTGGCAGAGCTCAATGTAGGGACAGGACACTCACCTTTGGCTGACTACTTTCTGGTACCAGTGTCATGAGGCAAAGCTCTGTCGCTTCCTGTTTTAGTGATTTGAAGGAAGGAGGCCCTGGATGCTTTTGTTGATAAGCCTTAATTAGCAGCTACAACTTTATAGTCTGAGTAAACCCCAGAAGAAACACATGTCCAGTGAAAAGGTTGGGGTGAGCTAAGAGGCTCTGCTGGTGAAGATAGCATGGTGACATGTCCTGGCAATGAGCCGCTCTCTTCTCCCTGTAGCCACCTCAGTGGATAAAGGCGAGTGTGTGGGCGGGTCGACTCTGAGCCTTCTCCACGACAGGAGCTTCAACTACACAGGGGACAGCCAGGCACAGGAGTTGTGCTTATACCTGACCAAGGCAGCCAGCGCACCGTACTTTGAGGTCTTGGAGAAGTGGATCTACAGGGGGATCATCCATGACCCCTATAGGTAGGGTTCCATAGGGTGGCTAGACAATGCCTGCTGCCCCTTTTCCCAGAGAGTGCTGGCCTTAGTGAGATGGCACACGCTGAGCACATATCCTCACACAGAAGCACGCCCTGAGCCAGGGAATGGAGCCTCCCATCACTTGGCTGCCTTTCTAGACATTACTGTGTTGGGTGAAGGCTGTTATGATCCCTGGAGTTGAGGCCCTAGAGTCCTTGGTGTAGGGATGTCCTTGGTCTGATGAGGTCTCAGGGCACCTCCTCAGTGAAAGGCCTTTAAATGGACCAGGGAATTTAGCTTAGTGGTTCCGTCACCTGCCTTGCAAGTGCAAGAACCTGAGTTCGACCCCGGTACCAAAAAAAAAAAGCCAGCTCACAAAGAATTATATTTAAATATATCTGTTAAAATATTTTTAAAGTGTGTGACATAGAAGTATGTATTTTATTTTGATTATTTTTGATGCTAGGGATGGAACATTGGGCCTCATGCGTGCTAAGCATGTGCTCTACTACACAACTGCAGTCCCCCTATAGTTCTTTACTAATTGGCCAAATAACAGAACCTGGTGTGGTGAGTGTAGCAAGAAATGCAGCTTCCAACTCACTGGGTGTTAGGTTATTCTTGAAACTCCATGGGAAGGTGTCTGGTTCTTCTGGTGAGGGCCCACATACCCAGGGATGAGTCATTTTGTGGCCTGTGCTTTGAACAGACAGGTAGAGATAATTAACTTGCTATCTAACTCTGACCTAGGTTAAATGCCTTTTCTACACGAGGTTTATATATTCATTTTAATTCACCACGCAGAAGTAATGACAGTGGGTCATGCTTGCCTTAACGGCATGTTTCTAGAAAAATGGGGCCAGTTCCTTGTGTCACTTAGGGCTGTGCTTGTTCCATGGTGACCTGAAAAGCTGTCTGTGACTTCCAGCGAGTTCATGGTTGAAGAACATGAACTGCGGAAAGAGAAGATACAGGAGGACTACAATGACAAGTACTGGGACCAGCGGTACACTGTGGTACAGCAGCAGATCCCTTCCTTCCTGCAGAAGATGGCGGGCAAGATCCTCAGCACGGGTAACCATACATGCAGTACTTAGGTGCAGGGCCAGCTCCTTCTAGCCCTGTGCCCATGTGGAAGATGGCTTCCTGTGCTGAACTACTGGATGCTTGTGGTTTCTGGCACCTTTTGTCTTTGTTCTGTTCCCTGACCGGGAGACTGTCTCACAGAAGCCTTCTCTATCTTTGGTTTTTAACTTCTAGAAATCTATTATCATTACAGAAAAAATCATCAGGCACACATACCTGCCAGGTAAACCATGTTGATAGTCACTGCCCCACAAGTTAGGGCCTGATTTAGTCACTGGATAAATGATGCAGGGGTGTGGCGCGTTGGTCCTGAGGACTAAGCCAGTGCAGAAGGGGCTAAAAGGTGCTTTAGCAACCTGGTTCTCAAAAGGCCTTTTTGAAATTATTTCTGTGCTCTTCATTGGGAAAATCTAGATGTGAAGAGCCACTGTAGGTCACAGCAGCTGCTGGCTCAGTCCCTTCAGTGGCAGTTGCATCTTTCTGTGTGGGATGAATTGAGTATAGGGCTGATGTGCATAGCATGTCAAGCCCCACTACCCATTGTTTGATAGAAATAGTGAGATTCCAGGCCGGAGACTCAGTGTGTGCAGTGACATTGCAAATCTGCCCTCCTCCTTTTCTTTCCAGGAAAATACCTCAATGTGGTCAGAGAGTGTGGTCATGATGTCACCTGCCCTGTGGCCAAAGAGATTATCTACACACTCAAAGAACGGGCTTACGTTGAGCAGATTGAGAAAGCATTCAACTATGCCAGCAAGGTGCTGCTGGACTTCCTGATGGAGGAGAAGGAGCTGGTGGCCCACCTGAGGTTGTTCCTTACTCCCCCACTCTGGATGCTGCTTACCCCTTTTAGCACAGGAAGTCAAATTTGCAGAACATAGGCCAAGATTGGAATATTCCTTCTAGCAGCTCTTTTGTCTCTGTAAAAGCGGGCAAGTCACCTGAGGACCTAGCACCTGTGTCACCCCCACCACAGGGTTGTGAGGTGGGTGGTGAGGCGACGTGTGCCCATGTCCCTGAGTCCCCACTTTCCTGGGGGCCACCAGACCCCTAAGCTTCTCTGCCACAGCCTGACACAGTGGCCCCATGCCCCACTGAAAGATGTTCACATCCACTTCTTTGTGTGATTGTGCTGAAGTACTAAGTACTGGCAGGCATAGTAGCAGGCTTAGCACCTCTTCCCTGGCACAGGTCCATCAAGCGCTACTTCCTGATGGACCAGGGGGACTTCTTTGTGCACTTCATGGACCTCACTGAGGAGGAACTCAGGAAACCAGTGGAGGACATTACTCCTACACGCCTGGAGGCTCTGTTGGAGCTGGCCCTGCGCATGAGTACTGCCAACACTGACCCCTTCAAAGATGACCTCAAGGTGGGTACAGTGGGCACTGGAAGTGAGGAAACAGCAGGGCCCAGTCCTGCCCAGTGCTTTCTGTTTTAGACAAGGTGCTTGTGCAGTGTGTTCTTCCTTCATCTGGACAGTATACTGGCTTGCTGTCATCATGTTGAGAGATTTTACACCTGTACTCACAAGGGATATCTGTCTGTAGTTTCCTTGTCTGGCTCCATGTCAGGTTATGCTGACCTCACTGTGTGGGTATGGATGTGTCTCTTCTCTTTATGTTCTTGGAAGAGTTTGGGAAGTAGTGTGAGTTCTTCCCTAAGGTTGGCTGAGATTCTTCATGATGGCTTTGGTGCTGGTTTTCTCTGCTGGTAGGCTCACGGCCCAGTCTCCCTTTGTTAAGGCCATTCAGATCTGCTACTTCAGGAGTTAGCCCCCATGCCTTTGTGTTTCTGTTGTCCATCTTGGCTGGGTGTCCAATGTGGGGATTCTTATGGTCTGGTACTGAGAACTCCACTTTAATTTCTGAATTCAGTGATTTGAATCCTGTGTCTTCCTCAATGCACCTAAAAGTTTGTCAATTTCACTGATGTTTTCAAAGAACCTAGTCTTGGTTTTGTTGGTTTTCTCTACTGTTGGTTTTCTCTTTCTGTTCTCTGTTTTGATTAGCTCTTTGTTATTCCTTTTTTCTGCTGGGTTTTGGTTTAGTTTGGTTTTTTTCTTTCTTTTTTTTGGTACTGGGGATTGAACTTGGGACCTTGTGCTTGCAAGACAGGCAGCGGAACCACTGAGCTAAATCCCTGGCCCTTTTTCTTACTTTCTTAGATTGTAAAGTTAGGTTATTATTGCTTTGAGGTGTCCATGACTGCAAATGTCCCTCTGATGTCACTGTCCTGTTAGTTTTGATTTTGTAGGGTTTTTGTTTTTTTTTTTCTGTTTTGGGGGTGTTTTTGTTTTTTGCAGTGCTGGGGATTGAACCCCCAGCCTACACCCCAGACATGTCTCAAGTTACTTTCTAACTTCCCTTACAATTTCTTTTTTGGACCCATTGTTTGAGTGTACTTAACATCCATAGACCTGTAAATTTTCTATTTTTCCTTCTGTTACTTTCTTTCAACTTGAGCCTGTTGTGCATGGAGCATATTCTTTGCTTGAGACAGGGTCTTGCTTGTAGTTCAGGCTGGCCTTGAACTCCTTGTGTCGTCTACACTGGCCTCAAATTCGTGGTGATCCTCCTGCCTCAGCTTCCCGAGTGCTGGGATTACAGGCATGCCCACCACACCCAGCTCGAATATACTTTGTATGATCTCAGTTTTATAAAAATGTATCAAGATTTGCTTTGGGGCCTCACATGTCCTGAAGAATGTCCAAGTACACTTCGGAGAGCATGGGTTCTACTGCTGCTCTGCACGTATCATGGATGCATTGTGATGCTTAGAAGCAGATTGAGTACTGATCTCTGCCATTTCCCTAGAAGTTCATTTCTCCTTTAAAGTCCACCCTTCCTTCATACATTTTAGGGTCTCTTATTAGGTAAAAAAGTAATGTTATGGGAAAAATTAATTCCCAGCAGTGGAACCATTGGATCAGAGTATAGGGGCTTAATGGTGACCTCGTTAACTAATTAATGGTGACCTCATTGGAGCTGTCTGAGGCCCGGGCAGTGTGGCCGAGGGGCATCATATCTGCCCACCTGATGTGCACATCTGTGTTCCTCTGATGATCAGGAAAAGCGTCAGCTGAATTTTCATTTCTGTGTTAGGAGATGGTAAGAGCTTTTATCCATTCATGAGCTGTTTGTGTTTCTTCCTTTATTCTTTGTTGCTAGGGATTTAGCTCAGTGATTAGCTCAGTGGCACTGCACCTGCCTGGCAAGCAGAAGGTCCTGAGTTTGATTCCTGGTACCAAAAAACCCCACATCAACCTTTGTTCTTTGCCCTTCATTTTTGTTCTTGTTCTTTATAGGGATCTTGTCACATTCTCCCTAACATACAATTAGCACTTAATATATATTTGAATAAATTAATATTGTGGACAGTGCTGTTTGTCTATATTAATGTCACATCTCACACCAGATATGCTTTGTCTTTCAGCCTAGGCCTGGTGCCTTATGGGAAAAGAATGTTTCTATCTTAAGGAATTAGAATTTAATTTCCCTGTGGTTTCTTATTTGTACCATCCACTGCAGTAGAGGGACATTTAAAAAAATAATTTATCTGGATTTTTTCTTTTCAACTTTAATGGAAAGTAGTTTAGATTTTTTTCCTTTGTTGTACTTTGAATTAAACCCAGGATCTCACATCTGCTAGGCAAGTGCTTCACCACTGAGCTAGAACCTTCAGCCTAATTTGTTAATTAGGATTTATCAGTAGTTATTTGGCTTTTTAACATGGCCTTCAAAATTTTGAATCAGTTGTTAGGAAACTTGCTTTTCCAAGTCATGATACAGGGGTGGGTGGGAGTCAGGAATGCCTTTAGCCTTGTGCTCTAGATATGTGATGCTCTGTTTTATTATTTTTCCCCTAAGATTGACCTGATGCCTCATGACCTCATCACTCAGCTCTTGCGGGTTCTGGCCATTGAGACTAAGCAGGAGAAGGCAATGACCCATGCTGATCCCACTGAGCTCACGTTGAGTGGCCTAGAGGCCTTCTCCTTTGACTACATTGTCAAGTGGCCCCTGTCACTGATCATCAACAGGTAAGGATTTGGCCACTTGGAGACAGTTTCTGGATTACAAGAAACTAGAACTGCCCACTCAGAGCAGCCTCATTATTTAGGACCTGAGGCAGCTCCCAGCTGCTGGTACCTACTGTTTAGGCTATAAGAGGATAGGCTGTTCACCGTTCATGACCATTCATGACCTCTGATACAACGTTTTTTGCAGGAAGGCACTCACCCGCTACCAGATGCTCTTTAGGCATATGTTCTACTGCAAACATGTGGAGCGACAGCTTTGCAGCGTCTGGATCAGCAACAAGACTGCCAAGCAGTACGCACTGCACTCTGCAAAATGGTGCGTCCTGTCATGGCCTTCCTCTTCCCCGCAAGAAGAATGGTTTTACTTCTTAGACCTTTGAAAAAAATAATTTGAAAATCACATTTGTAGTTTAGTTCCATGATATGTCAGATTTCATGATTTGGCAACACAGCACTGTTGTTCACTGGCAGGGGACATTGGCTCTGTTCCTCAGCTCTCTCCTTGTGACAGCACAGCACTGGCTACCTGGGTCTATGTGGTGGACACAAACCCTTCAGGAGCCTTTATTCCCTCCTCCTGAGCATAGAGTGGCATTGCACTGGGAACTACTCATTTCCCCGAGGGGCCTTTTGCACACTGGTTTGTGAAACCAGGTGGTGTATAAAGAACAGATTAGTGGTAAAATTTCTAAAATTCCTTAAGAAACTGCCTCAGTAAAGCACAAATTATGGAGTATGCCATTGGGGTCATTCCCAGTATTGGCTGTCTACCAGCTGAGTGAGTTAGTGAACCAGGGAGTCTGTTCTGTGTTTCTCCAGTGGGAGCTGGCTGGCCCAAGTCCTTCTGGGCAAGACACTAATCTGACAGCATGCTGCAGCCAGAGATGACAGCAGGTGTCCTCAAAGCCTTTGTCCAAGCTGTTACCATGCATAGGAGCTATGGGCATGAGAGCTGTCTTTGCTTAGAAGTGGAAGTACTGGTGGCAGAAGCCATCCGCACATACTGGACACCATAGATGTGCCAGCCTTTCTTCACTTTCCTGTAACTGTTCCCTGCACTCAGGTTTGCTGGTGCCTTCACTCTGCGGCAGCGAATGCTCAACTTCGTTCAAAACATTCAGTACTATATGATGTTTGAAGTGATGGAACCAACCTGGCACATCCTTGAGAAAAACCTGAAGTCTGTGAGTTTCTGCTTCATGCATTGTAGCATTTGAGAGGCTCTTTCCCAGCCAGGTGGCTTCATACCACAGTCCCCAGTTACATGCTGACTGGGTGTCAGGGCTGCTATGAACGTGTGCACAGCCTTGCAGCCTCCTTCCTGTTTGAAGAGAGGAGGTCCTGTTCCTGTGTGCAGACAGTGGTGTTCTTCCACAGTGATTCATGTGAGGGAGACAGCAAAAGGAGAGCCACAGAGGGTGAAACAGTTTTCCCGCAAGAGACCATTGGTTCATTTAAAAAATAGAAACATACAAAAGCAGTGTACTCTATAATCCCAGCACTTGGGAGGCTGAGGCAAGAGGATTGCCATAAGTTCAAAGCCAGCCGAAACTATATAGCAAAACCCTGTCTCAGTAAAACCAAAATGGAAAAAATAAAGCAGTGTACAAAGGGGGCTAAGGCTGTAGTATTTACCTGACATGCGAGGCCCTGGGTTCAGTCCCCAGGAATGCAAAACAAAACTGAAGTGCACAAAGGCAAAACTGAAGGCCACATCCACAGAGTATCTTCTGTGAAGTCTGGAGAGCAGGCGCAATGCTGAGACTCAGCCCTTTCTTCACAGGCCTCCAACATAGATGATGTCCTTGGCCACCACACGAGCTTCCTGGACAACTGCCTGAAAGACTGCATGCTGACCAACCCTGAGCTTCTAAAGGTCTTCTCTAAGCTCATGTCTGTGTGCGTCATGTTCACCAACTGCATGCAGGTAGGCAGTATGGACAGATGTAAGTAGATGTGAACAGGTATAGGCAATGTGGGCATGAGTGTTGTGTGTTAGTCACTTTCCTGCACTGGGACAAAATACCCAACACCTGCAATGTAAAGGAGAGGTTTATTTTGACTCATGGTTTTAGAGGATTAAGACCAGTCCAAGACAGAAACTGTATGGTGACAGGGCCTGGTGGAAAAAGGCTGCTGAAGATGGCTGCCAGGAAACAGAGACAAGGATGGAGTGTGGACAAGAATACACACCCTTCCAAGAGTGAAGTACATCATGTTACAGTGATCCGTGCCATGTTTATAGTAGCATAACTCGTACTAGCTAAGAGAGTGGCCTATATGCTCATCAGTAAATGAATGGATAAAGAAACTGTATTTATACACAATGGAGTACTGCTCTGCGATGTAGAAGGATAAACTTGAATCATTTGTAGGAAATGGATGTAACTTAAGACCATAATGTTAAGTGAAATAAATCAGACACATAAGCTTAAATATCACATGATTTCTCTTATATGAGAAACCGAAAGCATAAGAGCAAATTGAAGCATATATAAGGAGAAACAGAGAAATAGATGTTTTGCAAATGAAAAGGGGACCAAGAGATGGAGAGAGGGAGGAGGGAGAGGAGAGAAGGGTACATAAAAAGAAGTAAGATGTGCCAGGTACATGTGCCAGCTCCCACAATGAATGTCATTATCTGCTGCAGACATGTACTAATAGTTAGAATTTGGGAAAAATAAAATACATCCTCTGTGTCATGCCTCCAAGTCCACCCTCCATACTATTCCCTTACCAGGGCCCACCTGACAACATCACATTCAGGCATGGACTCCCCAGTGGATTAATCCACTAATGATTATAGTACCCCAGGATCCAGTCACTTTCCAAAAGCCCCACCTCTGAGCACATGAGACTTTTGGGGGCACATTTTAGATCTAAATCATAACACCAGGCCTGTCCCACACCTCCTGCCTTTATAGAACTCCTGGGTCTTCCTGGCCCATAAATACCTTTCTGAAAAAGGGGCTTTCTTGAGGCTCTGCTCTGGTGGTATATTCAGGAGCCACTGGTACCGGATTATTCTCACTCTGTCCGTAGTTCTGTCTATGTTCCTAGCCTCTTTTTAAATGTCTTTGTTATCTTGTCAGACCTTGAGTTATTCAGTTCAGTGAAGTACTCTTTGGACACTTGTTACAAGTAGTTGCCCAAAGATGAGTGGTTGTAGAAAGTGAGTGTCAGGTGGCAGAGATTTCAGCCTGAGGAGTGCTGGGCTCGGGGCTGTTTGGGGCCTGAGGAGCACCTTCTGCAGACAGCATCTTGGGGAAGGGTCAAGACACAAGAGGTAGAAGATGTACATGGTAGTAGATTATGGAGGGCACAGGTAATGTGGAACCCATTGCCTAGATGCTTAGGAGCCCATTTTAGGTTCCCAAATAGGGAAACACCATGAAAAAGCTGTTTTTAGAGAAATCTATTCACTATTTCTATGAAAGGTAGACCTGGGAATTCTGTGGGCACAGCTGACACCCTCATATCTGCAGCCCTCTGCTGGGACATTTGTGAGTCTCTGAGTCTGCAGTCAGTCCAGGCCTGCCTCATGGGGTAAGCTGCACTTGCAGGGACTTGGCATTTCATAGAGCCTTGTGGTTAGAAGTAACAGCACTTGCTTATAACCCTGCCCCTAGAAATTTACACAGCATGAGATTGGACACAGCTGGTCCGGCTAGCAGTGGAGCAAGGCACCATTCTGGGGCTGCCCACAGAAGCCAAGTAGGCCAAGGAGCAACCCTAGAAGGAGTCCTCCAGGAAGGTGGAGGGAGCCCTTGGAGTTCATCCTGAAAGACTTAATTATCCGCGGTACAGCATTAGCATCACAGCACTCAGGGAGACCTTCTAACACCCTTTCATTGCTGTCACTCTTTTGATGAAAAGAAAACTCTTGAAGTTGGTTCTAAACACAGTGTGAAGACTTCTCACTGGTCTGCTCCCCACCTTAGCTCATTGGGCTCTGGTGTGGCCACAGTCGTCATCTGTGGAACAGTGTTGTATGGGCCAAGCCTGGGGCAATATTACTGATTTGTGCCTGTCTCTGATAAGAACAGACAAGTGGCTCAGCAGATGCAAATGATCTATGTCTTTTGGCGCAAGGGCCAAAGAACAGAGGCCTCATGCTGATGTGGCAAAGAAAAGACAGGACAGGGAGTAGTAGGGGCCCAAAGCTAGGGACAGTAGGAGACACAGTTCATTCCCATTGCTAAGTAGCCAGGAGAAAATGACATCAGCTTGAAAATCTGATCTAAAGAGAGAAAACCCATGGGGTGGCACTATTGAAGTCTTTATCTCCCCAGCATAGGGGCACTAGTTACGTGAAGTGTTTCTCCATGTGCTGTGTTCTCAGGAATTTTTTGACATCATAACTTCCTACCCTTTATCACACAAAATGTGTCAGGACCCATTTCTTTGATTTAAATGGAGAGAAAGAAAAAGAAGCAAATGGATGTGGGCTTAGCACAGAAGCTCAGATGCCCACTCAGAGAGCTGACACTGCTCACTGCCCTGAACTTTGTTTCTAGCACCTGACAGAGCCTGTGGACACCCCTCAGATGGCCTCTGGCTTTGAAGCCACCATCAATAACTTTGACAAGAACTTTTCTGCTCATCTGCTTGACCTGCTAGCCCGACTGAGCGTCTATAGCACCAGTGACTGCGAGCATGGCATGGCCAGCGTCATCTCCAGGTATGCATTGGCACCTCCATGGCCAGCCTTACTCCCTTCCCAACTGTAAGGCGCAGGCCTGCACACTTCTGTTTACCATGGCCTTTGTGGCCTGCAGCCCCTGGCAGTCAGGTTCCCTGTGCTGGCTGAAGAGAGTGGAAGGAAGAGGGGTTGGCAGGGGGCTCCTCAGGGAAGACAGTAGCTTGCTCATTGTTAGGGTGTGGTGAGGAAAGGGGTCCCAGCTTTAGCCAGGAAGAGGTGCTGTCCCTGCACTGCCCTTGAGAAGGTGCTTGTTTATACATTGAGAGCACCTGGTGCTCTATGCCACCTGCTGACATCCTGGTTTCCTGAATAGAGGCTTCTGAGCTCTCCTAGTACAGAACTGCTGTGAAGTTTCTCATGTCTGGGGCACCCTCAGGGCCCTTCCCCCTATTGCCAGATGATGCTGGGAAGATGGGAGTCCCAACGTCTGGGGACTGAGAAGTCTGCAGCTGTGCCAGTGGCTGTGCCCTCCTGGATATAATTCTACTGAAATGCTTGTTAGGAGCTCTGCTGCTTAGCTTTTAGTTTTCATGTGTGTTTTCAAGGCTTGATCTCTGTATTGCTTAAAGCAGTGAAGGCTGTGTAAGCCAAGACCTGTGCATGTATATATGTGTGTTGGCCAGTGGAGCATACATCCCTCGCCCGCAGCCTGGAGGAGGTCTTGAGTTATCTCTATTGCTGATTCTTATCTATATGGGAGAAATGGGGCTGCCACCATGGCCATCTGTGACAGGCATGTCTACACCCATGCATTTCCTTAGCATGGAAGCTGTGCCTCACCCTCTCCAAGAGGATCCCCAGCTCTGTTTTCCCTCTCCCACAGGCTTGACTTCAATGGCTTCTACACAGAGCGACTGGAGCGCCTGTCTGCAGAAAGGAGCCAGAAAGCAGCCCCCCAAGTGCCTGCCCCACGGGGGCCCCCTATACCAGCACCAGCACCAAGGGTGGCAGTCACTGCACAGTGAACCCTGGGGCCAGTCAGCACTATGATGCAGTGATCTCAGAATTTTTAAATCATATGTTCCTGGAACACGTGTTGTTTGTGCTGTTATTGTTTAAATATTAGGTCTGAATTACAGTCTTGGCTCGCTGCATTTCTTTTTTTAAGGTGTTAAGTTTTGTTTTATAGAATTGTGATACCTTCCTGGACTTATCTGTTTGCTTTGTTTTTAATACTTTGGGCCTCAAAGACAAGATTTAAAAAACACAACAACAGACATGGCATTTGAGCATTAAGCAAGATAATTACAAGGTGATGCTTACTGGGTGAGATACTGCCTGGGAACTAGGGCTGGGCTCCCTGAGATCCCAGAACCCTGAAGGTCTGGGCATTCCTTTTGCCCTAGGCACTAGGGGGCAGCATCATGCCAAGCTGTAAAGACTTGCTGCCTCCAGCACCCTGGGCAGCTGAGTGCACTATTTTCTTCTTAGCCCACTTCCCTGAAATGCACCCACTGAGGAGTGGCCAGAGGGACAGGCTTGTTGCAAGGTGAGATGCCCTGATCCTGCCCCCATCACACAGGGCTGAACTCTGGGTTCCTTCTTCCATTAGGGCTTGGTCTTGCTGTATGAAAATTACCCAGCAGACTGGCTAACATGTGCTCAGTAGCCCCTCAGTGGCCATCTGCCCTAATCCAGCAATGGACAGAACAGCCGGCCCTGGGTGGCCTGATCTGGTTATACCCCTGGCCAAGCTGCCCCTTCCTGGTGAATTTTATGTGTCTCCATCTCAAAATCCAGTTCTAAATACCTGCCTTAGGTGGGTCTAGCCAGTAGGAAGGGCCAGAGAGATCAGAAGGAGTGGAAACTGAAGGCATGCTCCTGGGGAGTGTGGCCTCACACAGACAAGCGCTCCCAAGGGGCCCTTGGGGTGGGCAGCCCGTACTATGGCTGCCTTGCAGAGGGCAGTTGCTCTGCTGGGGGTGCCTGATTCTCCAGCCACATACTGCTGCTCTAATCTGCAGCTTGTGCAGACTTGACTGAGTAAACACATCATCTGTCAACCCAGTTGCCACATTAAATGCCAGACTGAGCTGAGAAGCTCCTTGGCCTCCAGCAAAGGACCAGAAATCCCATGTCCTGGGCCCTTCCTTCTGTATCTCCAGAGCTTATAAGTGTTCAGGGTGGTGGAGGGAAAGCTTTGAGGCAGTGGCATCCTGGCTCCCAGCTCTCCCACAGCCTGCTGGGTCAAGGTGGTAGACATGAGTTGTGACTGTCCTGTGCCATGGGTAGGCATCGGTTGTCTCTGGAGGGTTCTGTTGGTGCTGGCTTTTGGGTATAAGTCCCTTTTCATTTAGCTTCACCTACATCAGCTTAGTTATGAGTAGTTTGGTTTACTTATCAAACAATGATACATACTGACAGTATCTTTGGTTTTTGACTCTAACATGATTATTAGTGTTGTCTTGCCTTGAACTTTTTGCTGTTGAATAATTGCAACCGAGGGACAGGGAAGAGAAGTCAAACTGCTAAAGGCATGTGTGACCTCAGGCCGAAGCCAGCTCAACCCAGGAGCCCCATTCACAGCCTGGGGGCTCCCCGAGTACTGAGCACCACAGGCTGATGCCTTGAGTAGCTGGTCACTTCCCCTGAGACACCTTAACATCTGTGCTCTGCCTGCTCCATTTCTGACTTTTGTGTCATTCACGTTGCAGCAACAGTGTGCCGGTATCCCTTCAGCGCTGTCCCCAGATAGTCCAAAGGCCCCAGTCCTGCCTGTCTCCATGTCTAGCCCCTGATCTGCCATACCCTCCCTTCTCAAACCTGGAAGAAGATTGAGCTGCCCATCCCCCTTCTCCTTCGATCCTCCCTGGTGGGAGTGGGTCTGGGGAGGCTGTAGGGTTGCCCACACTTGCACCTACAAGCCTGGGCCACAGTGGGGGACATTGTTACAAAGGACGAACAGGCTTGGTCACAACCCCAGGAATTCTGGGTTCCCAGGTGACAGGGACCCACCTGGAGAAGCTGGGAGCCATGCCACAGCGGGGGTTCTGCAGGCTCTGATTCTGTAGCAGCCTCACCCTGCAGGCCAGGAAAGGCAGAAAGCAAGGCTTATATGGGGAGCTTGGCCCATTGGGACTCCCACAGCAGGACTACAGACTTGCCTCTAGGAGCAGCTCAGGCAGCCCCTGGGATGAGAACCCCACCTGTCTGGCTCCTCCTCTGGCTTGCCCCTCAGTGAAGTTGCAGAAGCAGGGCATAGGGTTTTGGTGTCACCTCCCATAGGGGCTGGTCCTGTGCCCATACAGCCGTTTCTCGTTACTACGTGTGGCTTTCTGTTCCTCAGGAAGTCGGAGGGTCCCCACCCACAAGTTACTTCCCCTTCAAGAGCTACCTTACTCCAACCGAACACCAAGGGCTCCAGAACTCTTGACTGGGAACGGCAGGGCCTTGGGCTCCCCATGTGTACGAGAAGGAGGCAGAGTTGGGGGGATATGTCCAAGTTGGTTATTTAAACTCACCCTTAACCCCATTAATTTGGTGCACAATTATGGGGTCCAGGAAGAGACAGGGATACTGGGTCGTCACGGGGGCGGGGACGCGGTCCGGCCAGGATTTGCTGGAGGCCCGGGTTGCGGAGGAGGGGTGGGCAGGCGGGCGGAGTGGCCCTCCCCAGGTACGCCCTGCCCCTCGGCCTGATTGGCTGCGCTCTCTCCTGGGCGGGGCCAGAATGGAGTTCGCCAGGAGCCTCCTCGGGGACCCAGACTGAGCAGAGCCTTCTCTGACCACCGACCAGAGACCAGACCATGCAAGGCATTAGGTTCTGGCTACTCGTCGCGTTGTGGCCACACGGTGAGTGGTGTGCACCTGGCTCCTGGGGCCCCTGGGGTGGAGCTCCAAGCAGCCTGGGCGCCGGCTGTGTCACGTTCCTCCCTTGAACTAAGCGGGGATGGGGGTGAACTGTAAGAGAAGTTGCCTAGGGCGTTTCCCCGAGCTTCCCAGGTCGGTTGATACCCAGCAGGGATAAAGACCGCAGCGTGCGCCTGCCTCGCAAGCACAAGGTCCTGATTTCGATCGCGGGTACCAAAAAAAAAGACCGCAGGGCCCTCCCCCTGGGTTCACCAATAGGCAAGGAAGGAAGTTCAGTTACCTGGGCTGGGCCAGAGGACGGGGTTCCCTAGCCATCTGAGGACCTGTCTCCAGCCAGGCGGAACCGGGTGGGCTGCTGCCTTTTAGGAGCCTTTTGGGTTGTGGTGGTGTGGTGTCCACCAGGGGCTGGGGCAGTGTTCCCTGTTACCCCTCACTCCGGGGGATTTACCAGATAGTGGTCAGGGAGACACACTCTTCTTTAAAAGGAATAAAGTTATCTGGGATAAGTGGTCTCCGAAACTGGACCTACTCCCGAGGGCCTGGTCAGTTACTGGACACCAGGAAGTTTTCAGTTCTTGGGATGTGAACTGAGGGGGCAGGCAGTGGCTGTTTTGTTCCCCAATTAGATGTGATCCTGGAACTAGAGATGAAAAGGTGTCAACTCTTAAGCTCTGGGCAGGCAGAGCTATCCCCACCTCCAACCCCCAGCCCAAGGCCTGTGTGCATCCTCTCTGGATAGGGGACATTCAGGTGGACTTCCAGAGGGGCCGGATGGAACAGGGTCTCTGGGCACTTTGCCCAATGTGCTGAGCTCAGTCTGGTGCACCTCTTCCACCCTCACAGATTTTTTAGGCACAGAGCCGTCCCTTAGCCCTAGGGGTCATATCTTTCCCATGCTAGATCCTGAGCCATCTGGCGATCCCTGTAGGGAGTCCCACACCAGGCTTGGAAAGTTGCCCAAGTGGCCTCCTGTACCCACTCACCTCCTCTCTTCTGTAGTGGTTGCCCTCAGCAACCCTCTACCCCATGTGCAGCAGTATGAGATAGTGTGGCCCCAGCGCCTGCCTGGACACCGTGCCCGTCGAGCCCTGCCCTCCCAATGGGTAAGTCTCTACTGTCCACCCATGAGACTGGCCCCTCAGAACCTGTTTCTGTGGACATGGCTGGGTGGGTGTCCGGGGGGCTGCCTACATAGCCTCGGGGTTTATAGGTGGACCCTGAGGGGCTTGTAGCTCACTTGGGCCTGTGAGTCTTCCTGGCTTGACTGCAGGTCCCTCCCTCCTATGCTCACCTTCTCATTTCCTCCTGCCCTGGGCAGAGCCTGGGGCCTCCAGTGTGGGCACTGGGACTTACTGCCCACTTCCCTCAGGAGCCCATCCAACCCAGTCTCAAGAAATCCCTATGGCCAGGAATTTAGCTCAGTGGTTCTGCCACCTGCCTTGCGAGCAGAAGGTCCCAAGTTCGATCTCCGGTACCAAAAAAAAAAATCCCTGGCAGTTTGTGCTGGACCAGGCCACTCCCCAGTTTCACTTGGCAGAGCTGATGAACCAAATTCCTCTTGAGTAGCGGGATGGTTCACTGTAGGATGTTACGTATGCAATGACACACCTTCCTGGGTCTCTGAGCTGTGCTGGGATTCCCCTGGTTTGAGAATTGAGAACAATCCTGTGGGCTGCCCAGGAAGATTCCTGAAAACCCAGTGGGTGGGTGTGTGTCTACACTCTGCATATCTGTGTGGCGTGAGTGTGAGGTACACATGGGTGTGTATTTCTAGGGAGGGGTCCCATCTTGGCTCTACCCTTGCCCTGGTGTCCAGGGAATCTGCCTTGGGGCCCCCAGACCTGTCTGCTGCCCTGCTCTCAGCCCACCCAGTGGGCACACACACATTACTGGAGCATATTGTGTGTGGGGACTAAGGCCGTGACCATGGGGACAGGGTCATGGAGTTACAGGGAAGTGGCTCTGAGAGCATCTGTCCCAAAGCTATAGAGGATGGACTCCATGGCCAGCTGGGGCAGGACAGACAGTGCTGGAGGGGTCTGTGCACTACATTCTTCTCCCTGCCTCATTTGCTGCCTTGGCTGCAAGGGCTGCCATACCTATACTGCTTCCTCCAAGAACATTGTTACCTTTATGTGGACAGATGGAAAAATATTGAGACCTGGATGATGAAGGAGCCCTGTCTGTCTGGCCCACCCAGAAGAGGGGCACCTCCTACCCCCTCCAGAACAACCACGTCTGGCCTCAGCCACCTTTTGGCCAGTCTGAGGCTGATGGGCCCCAAGGGTCCCCTAGGGAGGAGTCCCAGGGAGGTCTTAGTCTGGCCTGCGGCTGGCAGCTACTTACCCAGGATGCCTCATCCAGGGCCTATACCCAGAGAATGTGAGCTACATCCTTGAGACTGGAAAGCACACTTTCACTCTGCACCTGCGGAAGAACAGGTGAGCACAAGGCTAGCCCCGTAGGTTGGTCCCTGGCTGAGCCAGCCCTGCAGGCTCTAGTACCTATATCTTGGGCAGCCTGCTCCTGGCCCAACTTCCCCAGGTGGGAGGCCTGGGTGAAGTGACCCCAGAGAGCTCCAGCAGTTCTTTTCCAGGGACCTGCTGGGCTCTGGCTACACAGTGACCTACTCAGCTGACAATGGCTCCGAGGTCACAGAGCAGCTGCATGAGCAGGTATGGGACCAAGGCCAGGGCAGCCCTTGGGTTCGGGGCACATAGGAGCAGGGCCAGTGACTGTTCATGTTTCTTCTGCAGGACCACTGCCTCTACCAGGGCCATGTGGAGGGGCACCAGGGCTCTGCCGCCAGCCTTAGCACCTGCAGCGGTCTCAGGTGTGTGCTACAGACCTTGGCAGAATGTCCCACTTTACAGAAAGGTGAACCTGAAGAGAGAAGAAAGGGCTTTGGAACTAGACTTGGAGAAATGCCTTTCTTCTACTTGTGGGTCAGAATGTGCAAAGGCATTTACTCAGAGCTCCTGTTAGAAGTTACCAGTGCCAAACCCAAGGTGTAGGCCCACTCCTACATGCCCTCCTGCTTCCTGTACCCTGGACCTGTGTGTCACCTGGGTGGGTGCAAGGGGGTCACTGAATGCAATGTAGAGGGGCCTGTGGGCACCAGATTGGAGCTCCTATCCTCCCAGATAAGCAAGTGATGATGAGCAAGTACAACTTGCTGCTCACCTGGCTCCCCCTCAGGGGCTTCTTCCAAGTGGGCTCTGCCATCCATCTGATCGAGCCTCTGGATGGGAGTGGTGAGGAGGGGCAACACGCTGTATACCAGGCTGAGCATCTACAGCAGAAGGCGGGGACCTGTGGCGTCAGTGACACTGATGTAGAGAACATCCTGGGGCCTCGAGCCTTGGCAGCTTTCTGGCCTTACCTCCGGGTGAGCAGCTTCATGCCCCTGTGTGGTCAGTCCCTCCATAGGTTGATTCTGGGTGTCACTGCAGCTCCAAAGCCATACCCATACTGTACCCAGGTGGGTGGGCCTGGCTTAGTGCTGCAGCTGCAAAGATGGCCCTATCTGTGCTGGAATGATGGTTCCTTCCAACACTGTGGGGGGTGGGGCAGGGCCCAGGACAGGCTATGGCTAGGAAGGTTGACTGGTCTCTTTTACAGAACTCACCGCTGCCCCAAAAGACCCACTATGTGGAGCTATATGTGGTCACCGACAGCAAAGAGGTGGGTGGAGGGCACAGGGGTAGAGTGGGTCAGGTGGGCCAGGCCTGGGGTGCGAGGTCCCAACCTTAGGGTATTGTGTCCCCAGCTCCAGCTCTTGGGTAGCAGAGAAGCTGTGCACAGGCGGGTGCTAGAAGTGGTGAACCATGTCGACAAGGTAGGACTACGTTCACCCAGAGGGGTCCCCTCAAGAGTTGCCAGGGTCCTCCCTGCAGAGGCTTCCGGGGCCCCTCAGCAGCAGGGGTACATTTGGAGACAGGCAGTACCGAGGCTGCCAGGGCACATGGGCACCTAGAAAAGAGGCATGGCCATGTGGCCTGGGAGGGGATAGGACAGAGTCTGCTTTAGACCTCTGGGCTGAGCTCAGGACTTGCCCAGGACCTGGAGCAGCAGATGGGATATGACCTCCCCTGCCCACCCACCCTACACTAGCCAATCTTCTATGTCCTGGCCTAACCCAGGGAATCCTTGTCTGTAGCTTTATCAGGAACTCAATTTCCGTGTGGTTCTGGTGGGCCTAGAGATCTGGAGCACGGACAAGTTCTACATAAGCCACCACGCCAATGTCACACTGGACAACTTCCTGTCTTGGAGGGCACGGGCCCTAACGGGACGGCTCACCCACGACAATGTGCAGCTCATCACGTGAGAAGATGCACCTACCATACCCACTGCAGTGGACAGAGCTGAGCCCCAGCTGGTCACACAGCCTCTGTCTGTCCTGCCCTACAGAGCAGAGTGCCCAGGCAAACAATTACAGGGATGAGGAGGGGCTGGGGAATTGAGTCCACATGTTCATGTCGTGCTTGTTTCTAGGGGCATTGACTTCGCTGGGACCACTGTAGGACTGGCTAAGGTGTCTGGCCTGTGCTCCTGGCATTCAGGGGCTGTGAACCAGGTGAAGGAAACCCCTGGATTTGCCATAGCTAGCGGGTGGGCAGCTGGACTTAGAGCCTGAGCTAGACGCACTGGGGCTTCATCCATCCTTCCTGAAACACAGCTGATGGGCTGCTTCCTCTGAGACGGTGTTGATATCTGATTTTTTGTTTTAAGATGTTGGTAGGAAGCAGCGCCAAGCCTCTGGGTGCTGAGGCCAGGACAGTGGGCATGGATAGACAGGCTGAGGGGCATTCCTACTGAGCACAGCCCTCCCACAGGACCACACTCAGAACCCCATCGGTGTGGCCTCCACCATGGCCCATGAGCTAGGCCACAACCTGGGCATGAGCCATGATGAAGCCATCCAGGGCTGCTACTGCCCTGTGCCACAGGAAGGTGGTGGCTGTATCATGGCAGGCAGCCTCGGGTAAGACTTTGTGGGCCATAGCGGGCAGAAAGGGGCAGTGCTGCCTACTGTCCCTAACCACAATACCCCTGCCTCAGCTCCAAGTTCCCCAGGATGTTCAGCAGGTGCAGCCGGGATGACCTGGAGACATTTTTGGAGAGGCCTGAGGTGGACTGCTTGGCTAATGCCCCTGACCTAGACCGGCTCGTGGGAGGCCCTGTGTGCGGGAACCTGTTTGTGGAGCGTGGGGAACAGTGTGACTGCGGTACCCCCCAGGTGTGCCCCACTTCACCCCTCTCTCTTCTGCATCTGTGTGGGGGCTATAACCTCCGTCTCTGCAGTTTAGGGTGACCTCCCAGGCCAGGCACACCATGCACCATAGCACAATGGCCCTTGGACATAATAAGTCCCTCCTGTTCTCCTTTGACCTGTAAAGGAAGAGAAAGAGGGGCTGCTGGGCCTCCCGGTGGTTAGTAGCGGGTCATCCTCCTGGAGCTGGCACTGGCCCCAAGTGCAGCTGCTCAGGCTGTTATCCCACAGGACTGTCAGAACCGCTGCTGCAATGCCACTACCTGCCAGCTGGCTGAAGAGGCTGAGTGTGCGCATGGTGACTGCTGCCATGAGTGCAAGGTAAGCCAGGCCTGCCCAGGAGAGTCCTAGGCAATGAGATGGGCCATGGAGAGCATTGCCTGGGCCTATCCCATGGTGACTTTCTGTGTGGGGCCAGGTGAAGCCAGCTGGTGAGCTATGCCGCCACGCAAAGGATGGATGTGACCTGAAGGAGTTTTGTGATGGCCAGCAGCCGATGTGCCCTGAGGATGCCTTCCAGGAGAATGGGATACCCTGCCCAGGGGGCTACTGCTTTGATGGGAACTGCCCCACCATGGCCCATCGGTGCAAGGAATTGTGGGGACTGGGTGAGGCGAGCATAAGATGAGACACGGGGCCAGCTGGTGGGGGTGGCCATGGGCCTCAGCCTAGCTAATATCCTCTGGGCCCACAGGTGCATGGCCTGCCACAGATACCTGCTTCAAAGCCAGCCTCTCACCAGGTTGCAGTGGCAGTATCTCCTTTGACAGGCACAGGTGAGTGTCCAAGACCAGACTGCCCTGGATTCAGGACATAAGTTATCCCCAGCGGTAGCACTAGTCCAGAGGGCCCTCCCCACAGGATTACGACCCTGTGGCTCTCTGGTGGTCTATTCTGCCCTCCAGGACCCCGGCTTGAGCATGTCCTCCTTATGGGAGGGAGGGAAGGAAGGTCCTGAGCCCATCTCCTACAGTGGCCAGGCCCCCTGAACATATGCCCAGTACAGCTGGGACCATAGCCCTCTTCTATCTATAGGCCAAATAGATGTGGTGTCCTGTACTGCGAAGGGGGACAGAAGCCCAGGGAGCGTTCCTCCTGCAACTTTAACTCCCACCAGGGCCGTTGCCAAGCTCTCCGTGTGGACACCAACACTGCTACCTACGAGCTGGTGCTTGAGGGCACCAAGTGCGACGAAGGGAAGGTAAGCTAAGCTGGGCAGCCAGGTCTTCAGGAAGTGCCCCAACCTAGTGTCCTGCCAGAGGTGTATAGATGAAGTCCTTTGTACACTTTTAGTTAAACTTCAGAGAGTGGACATGGAAAGTCAAGACGTCTATTCCCAGGGCTGGGGATTTAGCTCAGTGGTTCCACTGCCTGCCTTGCAAGCGCAAGGTCCCGAGTTCAATCCCCAGTACCAAAAAAACAAAACAAAAAAAAGGACATCTATTCCCAGTTAATAATTTGGATACCACTGTACTAAGGCACCCTTTAGGACCCCCAGAGGGGCTGGGTCAGTCAGCCCAGCTCTGCCCTCACGGCCAAGGCCTGCTAGCAGATGGTCAAGGGCATGGTTATCCTGGATGTTGCCCTACCCTGAGCTTGGCCATTGGGTTTTGAGGGCAGTGGGATGGGGATAGAAGGTCCAGACCAGCTGTCTTACGAGATCCCCTCTGCCCTCCAGGTTTGTTGGAAGGGTCAGTGCCAGGACCTCCAGGTCTACAGATCCAAGAACTGCTCTGCCAAGTGCCACAACCATGGGGTAAGTATGGCCTCAAGGGATGGTGTGCCCCTGCCTTGTGACCCCAGAGCTGAGGCTACCACTACCGCTTTTATGTCTGATGGAAGCCTCTGGCAATGATAGCTCTGGATGTAGAAGCAGAGGCTCACACCAGCCTAGTATGCCACGTCAGTGGGGGTCTCTATAGAGCCCCCTTGGGCCAGAGGCTGGGGTGGATGTCCTCTGGAGATGACGTCTGTGATTACTGGGTAATATGGTCACTGGAGAAAGCCCAGGGCTGCCACTCAAGAATGAGCAGGGAGGGGGCCCTCTACATGCTGGACTGGCCTAGTGTAGCCCATTATCTCCCGGGTGCTTGTCCCTGAGGTCTGCCCATCCCTCCAGGTATGCAACCACAAGAGTGAGTGTCACTGCCCTGCAGGCTGGGCCCCTCCTCACTGTGCAAAGCTGCTGGTAGATATGTACAAAGGTAGGTAGCCCTAGCCATCCTGGGCCTCTACAGTGCCTAAGTGTGCAGAGCCATGATGGGTCCAGGTCCAAGTTGAGAGCCCATGCCTGGCACCCAATGAGAGCTGGTGTTCGGGGGATAGTTTGCAGCCCTGGTCATCCAACCCAAGGACGGCCAGGAAGCAGCCCACGTCCCTACGTCCTACAGATGATTGAGGAGAGTGCCCAGCTAGAGTGAGATTGGTGGTCTTTGGCCCACGTCCTCTAGTCCCTTTATGGCCCAGGAACCCAGGATCACCAACTCCCACACCGTCTTCCTCCCCAGTGGCCCCCGACCATGTGGCTGTCCGCAGCACTATGGCTTTGAGGGTCTGGCTTGGCTATATCCATGACCCTGTGAGTCAGAGGCCCCTCTCCATCATGCCTTCCAACTCATTTCTGAAGAGCAGGGAGCACTGGTGTAATGTACTGGGTCCTTCTCTGGGGGTTCCTCAGGCCTTTGGCCATGTGTAGGAGTCCCTAGGGACAAAGGGGATGGCCCAGGGAGGCAAGAAAGTTTCATCTCTGAAAGGCCAACCTCATCTCCCCACTCAGCTAGCACCCAGCCCCAGCTGATGTGTGGCCATGTGTCCCACAGAATCTGGGAGCCTCCCAAGTAGCGTGTTGGTGGTCCTGGTGCTCCTGGCAGCTGGGGTGATCATTGTGGCAGGTGTCATTATCCACCGCAAGATGTGGCACCATGTTCAAATAAGGTGAGGACATATTGGTTGTGACACCTCTGGGTATGGGATGCACACTTTCCTGTGCTGTTAAGAAATGGTCTCTGCAACTGTTTGAGGAAGAAAACCCGCTGCTTCATGCATCCAGCTCAGGCAGAGAGACTAAGTGACTTGGGCTCCCCAGGTATTGGTGGGCCAGGGCTAGAGGCTCAGGAGTTTCCTGGGATCCACTGGTCTCCAGTCACAGAGGCTAAAACAGGAACCCCAGAGTCCATGGCCCAGACGCTGACTACACCATCACCTCTTTTCTTCAGGAGCTCAACACCCAAGACCACCATGGGGCTCTCCAACCCATTGTTCCATGAGGGTGGTAACAGTTTTCCAGCCAAGGGCAAGACTCCAGGTCCCCCAGAGCTGATTTCAACCACTCAAGCTAGCCAGTTTCCCAAGCCAACAGTGATGGCCCCGAAGAGGCCACCCCCAGCTGTAAGCATTGTCCCCTGACAGGTTCATGGGGCTAAAATGATAGGGTCCTTAGGGCCCCTATTCCCCTTCCCCAGGATGTGGCCCAAACACTTTTGTGTAAATTAACCTATGTGCCCTGCAGTGGCCTGGGTCCTAGGACAGCTGCTGTGGGCACCCCATGGTGGGTACTGAGAGTTAAGAGCTGCCTTCTGGGAACCTGCATTTGGAGTATGAATTTGACTTGAGGCTCTGAGGGTTCTCAGCCTGTGGCTGTGAGAGGAAGACACCCTTGCCATCCTCCCAGCTCTGGGATATGTGCCCACATGGCTGAGGGAAAGCAGTGGTCATGTGTCTAGGCTTGAGCCTTACCAAGTCCCCAGTCAGAAGGGTTTCATTTTCCCCTTTGGTGTGGGTGGTGCACAAACCTTAGGACCTGCACTGGGGTTGGTTGAGTTTGGGTAGGATGGGGCAGGGCCATGGGAGCCTTAGCCCAGTTTCATGGGCCCAGACTGAGAGCCTTTTCCCCTGCAGCCTCCAGCCACCATGTCTAATCCACCCCTCCCACTTCCTGTCTACACCCAGCAGGCATCAGACCAGGTGAGCAGCCTTTGGTGGAATGGCCAGATGTTCTGGAATCAGGGGCCTGAAGGCTAAATTCTGTGGGCCAGGGGCCAGGGAAGCTGCCACTTCATAGGGAAGATGGGTTGGCTTGACCTCTCTAGGACACTGGTCTGAACTGTAGATTCAGCAAGGCTCTGGGAGGGTAAAGGCACAGTGGGTTCTTCAGAATTGGGGTAAAGCAAGGCTGGTTTATAGGGTCCTGATGCTTTGTCCTTCTCCATCAGCTCAGACCTGCTCCTCCCACCAAGCCTCTCCCACAGCTGAAGCCCAAGCAGGTAAGGAAACTCAGCCCTGAGGGTACCCCCCTCCTGCAGGCCTACAGGCCTACACAGGGACAGCCACCACCCCTCCCAGTCTCGTGATGGTGATGCTTCCCTTTGGGATGGGTCTTTGGAGGTCTGAAAAGGTCTCTCAGTGTGATTCACTGGAGCCTTGCAAGCCAAGGTTAATTCCCAGGCCTCTCTCTCTTCCTTTTCAGTATTGGGGTCCTTCCCTCAGCGTGAACTCCCCAGACCCTTGGCTCCCCACTCCCAGATTCCTGTATCTCAACCCCAGATTTTCTCCCTCTTTTGGGAGCCCATGGGAAAGGGTGGCCATGGCTGGATTGGTAGAGAAAGGCGTGCATACTCCCACTCATGGCTGGGCAAACTCCAGGCAGCAGGATAGGCCTTGGCTTTAGAGTCTAACATATGCCCCAAGCCCCAAGCTCTACAGGTCAGCTGTGTTGCTGGGCGTCCTCCTGGGCAGACCTTTGTCTACTTCTTTTTTTTTTTTTTTGGTACCGGGGATCGAACTCGGGTCCTTGTGCTTGCGAGGCAGGCAGTGGAACCACTGAGCTAAATTCCTGGCCCACCTTTGTCTACTTCTGTGGTGATTGACTCGGGGGGAGGCGGAAGGCCACAAAGTGATGTAGCTTGGGGAAGTTTCTCCGAAGTGGCTTTTATGGTACCTGAAGAGTGAACATCCATCTCTTTCCCTGCTTTAAGCAGAGAGGTGCTTATTGATGCTAATTTTAACATTGAATAAATTTTAGATTTATAGAAAAGCCAAAGTAGCAGAGTCCCTGCAGCCCCTCACTCAGACTCCTGTGTGTTAGCACATGGCAGCCTCAGCCACATCTGCCTCTTAACGAACCTGCAGCAGGTCAGGCCTTCCCACCTCTCCTGGGCCCTGAATGGCTCTCAGTCATCTTGTACTTTGGAAGGGAAGTGCTGGTTCACAGCTTTGTGCAATGTCCCACAAATTCAAGTTTGCTTCTCACCATGAGTGGATGGAAGCAATGGATTTTTGGCAGGAATAGTGTGGGAAGTGTTCCTCCAAGGATGTGGCCTTGAGGTTGTGGTACCTCATGTCTTGTCATAGGGATGTGACACACAGCTTGCTTGTGGTGGTGTCTTTTTGGCTAGTGAACACTTTAGGGGAGTACATGGAGACTCTTGAGGTCCTAGCTCTCTTTAAAAATTTAACCTGCTTGCATTAACATCCACTGATTTTGGCCTCAAACAATTGTTACTGCGTGTTGTTTGGTTAATAGTGATATTCTATTTTTCTCTTTCCCTTTTTAATGTTTTATTTTGAACTAATTTAAAACCTATATAAGAGTTGCAAAAACAGCCCTACAAGGGGCCTTGACAGGCAGAATAGAGGCTGGGTAGACAGATTTCTAGCCAAGGACTCAAACAAACCAGGCCAGAAGGAATATTTGGGCAGAGTCTGCAGCCAGACTGGCTTGACTGTGGGAGTGAAATGCATCCCTGAGTTGCTGGAACCGCGCCCCCCCCCCCCCCAATGCTCAGTCCACCCAGGGATCACATGCAGCCTGGGAGCCCAGCCTGGGAAAGATGAAGTGAAAAAAAAATCCATATTTAGTTGAGTCTTGGCTTTTGAATTTCTAAGAAAGACCCACATTCTGGCATGTTAAGCATCTTTCACCTATAATCCCAGCATTCTGGGAGCCTGAGGCAAAGGATCTAATTTCAAGCCCAGCCTAGGCAATTTAGTGACTTAGTTTGACCCTTTCTCAAAAATTTTAAAAGGGGTGAGGATGTAGCTCAGTATGACGGTGATGGGTTCAATTTGTATTATAAAAAAAAATTCAAGATAATGGTTTTTTGTTTGTTTTTTGAAACAGGGTCTTATTATATAGTTCAGGCTGGCCTCGAACTCACAGTGATCCTCCTGCCTCAGCCTCCTGAGTGCTGGGATCACAGGTGTGCACCACCATATCTGGTTTGTCCATCAAGTTGGGGCAGTCCTGGAGGGTTTTTCTGTAGAGAGCTCAGTGAAGGCAGAAGCCTGCAGTCGGGCTGGAGCAGTGCAAAGAGCCTTGGGGAGTCAAAGCCCTGGACAGGGCCTGGCCCACCTAAGTAGTGCTCTACTTTAGCCACATATGCTCCCTCCCAGGCTATCAAGCCAACCTCTGTACCCCCGATGCCACCAGTCAAGCCTTGGGCTGAAGTAATCACACCCGGAAGGACTCAGGTGAGCCCCTCTCCTACACGCTGGGTGGGGTCTATCTACCTATACAGGGGCTACCCCATTGGGATGCCTGTAGCACTGCCCTGGAGTGTGTGTGAGATGATTTCTTTAGATTATTGGCTGATAAACTTAGGTGGGTATCTGATGAAAAACAAGGAAAACTTATCAGTCATAGGTTTATTTTAATGTCTCCTTTACAATCTGTCATAGGACTTTTCAATGATTGCTCCTTCCACTAACTATCAATTTTACCTTTTTTCCCTACTAGATAAATAATAAAATCTATATAGTGCTAGCTATTAATATTGTGACCATCACAGCCATAATCATTATAGGAATAGGGCCATCTTATTATTAGGTAAACTAAGAATCTAAATTTTAAGAATTGTAATTGAGAATATTCAGTTGTGCCCTTTGCAGTAGATGATGTTTAACATCAATTCTCTTTTCCTCCTCCAAGGGACTTGATGGTACAAAGGTTCCCCTGAAGCCTCCAGTCCAGAGAAGATGATCGGGCAGAGCACCACAGGTGCATCTGTGAGCCCAGGGAAGTTTGGAGGAGTCCCAGCAGGAGAGAGTGCTCCTCAGCATCCCAGGGTCACCACCAGAGCCTCTCAGCTCAGGACTCAGGGCTGGACTGAGCTGCTCCTCTGACCTCAGGACTGCATCAGACAGATGCTCTTGCTGTCCAGCTGGGCTAAGACCAATCCCTTCTCACCTGTGTTGGCCATGCTTAGCCTGCTTTGTCTGCAGTGGCGAGGTTGAGATAGGAGGTCACCTGGAGTGTGTATGAAGACTGCTGTCCAGACAGCTACTGCCCCCGTGTGCTCAGAAGGCCCGGAGCTTCCCTCCCAGCCACCACTGCACCTGCTCTCGGGCTTAGCAGCCCGAGACCCCTCCAAGGTCAGGACAGCTCTCGTGGTTTCCTGTAAGGAGGGTGTCAATAAGTGGATTGTATCTGCATTGACTCCAACTAAACCCACGATTTAAGAAGGAATGTCTACTTTTTAGGAATCACTGTCATTTGAGGGGCAGAGCAGATGGCTATCTGGTTTCGAAACCTCAGGGGATGAAATCCATTAATAATAAAGCTTGTATTATATCATTAAAGTATGGACCACGTTTTAAAGAGCAGGAGATTTTTATTATAGCAGTCAAACTTTTACCTTCCTTTCTTCGTGGATTTTAGCAAGCATTTCCCCTCTTTAATTAAACAGGTCCTTCCACTGACAAGCAGGAGGGCCAATCACACCCAAAAAGCAGCCTGACCGGCGCTTTGCAATCCTTGCCCCGCCCCTACAGTCCCATCTCCCAATGGTCACGTACCGCGCACCGCCCCTTCCGGCCCCTCTCCTCGCAACGGCCCCAAGCCTTCTGCCATGCCGGGCGCCTCTGGGCTCAGGCCCACTACTCCCTCACAGCCACTGCTGCTCGGCCTCTGCGGCTGGCTGGACAGGTTCCCGCTCAGCCGCCCCAAGCGGCACCTGGCTCGGGACTTCAGCGACGGCGGTGCGAGTGGGGCCAGCTCCGGGGGAGGGCACACTGGGAGGGGTGGCTGCGTGAGTGGAGCGGGAAGCAGCAGGGCGCTGGGCGACAAGGGCTCAGGGAGTAAGGGGCCCTCTTAGGTCCAGCCCCACTACTGGGGAGAGTATAGGACTTAGCCCCTCCCGTGGTATAAGTGCAGAGGGAGCAATGCATCCCAGGAGCCAAGCGGTACCTCCCTCACGTGCACCGCAGAGACCAGGGGCGACAGCGGGCATCAGAGAGCCTTAGCTGGACAGGCCAGGCTCACCCTCCTCTCCTGCAGTGCTGGTAGCTGAGATTGTGAAGCACTTCCATCCACGCCTTGTGGACCTGCACAACTACATCCCTGCCAGCAACACGGACCAGAAGCTCAGCAACTGGAGCCTTCTCAACAGGCAAGGCTGGGGCTCTGTCAGTGTAGGCCTGCTCCCCGAGCCTCTTATTTAACAGAGGGAGCCAGGCTTTATTCCAACACAGAAGACTCACAGTAAATAGGTTCCTGCCTTTTTGGAGTGAGTCTCTGTGGTGAGAAGACAAATAACAAAATATAAACCATGTCGGGTCTGATAAGTGATATGAAGAGCAACCAGCCAGGGTAGTGCAGACATGTCAGACATAGGGGAACCAGAGAGGGCCCTGAGGAGTCAGGAGAGTGATGTAGAGATGGGGAGAGTGAACTGAATGCTGGGGAGTTACAGGGGGAGCCCCAGAGCCCTCTGTGGGCCCAAGGATCCTGGAGGCCACACTGAGGACAGGCCTTCCAGCCTAGGTGGGCTTAGAAGCACTGCAGGACTGAGGCCTGGGCAAAGCTGGTGGGGCTCGAATTTCAGAGGGCTGGGAGTGGAAAGGGTCGTGGAGGAAGGTGGAGGCAGGGTTGAGAGGGCACAACTACAGTCAGGTGTTGGCCTTGATGGTAGTTAGAAGAGGTTAGACTAGGTGCTTTAGACATGGACCAGCAGGACTTCTCACAGAGCAAGGGGCAGCTGTCTGACAGACGAGAACTGCTGCAGAGTCCCTGAGACCCTGCGCTTGATGGCATGGGGCACTGATCTTTCTGTGATCCTCTGATGGGACACTGAAATGAGAAGGCCTCTCGGGTACAGGGCAAGAAATGGTCTTAATCTGAGGAAAGTGAGCACTGTCCTATGGCCCAAAGACGTGGCCCAGGGCCTCACCATTAGGGGCACTGCTCTGAGGGTCTATCCCTGCTTCCTTTGCAGGAAAGTCTTTCACAAGCTGCACTTCTGTGTCTCAGAGGCAGATATCCGAAAGGTGGTGGCCAGCGTGCCCGGAGCCATTGAGCCCATCCTTTGTGCACTGAGAGAGAAGGTGGAGGCCGGCACTGTTCATGCAGTCTCACCTGGTACAGCTGTATGTGTCTGTGCAAATTAGTATGGCTTGAGAACCTGCTGCATCAGTGCCCTTTGTACACAGTCAAATCATCTGCCTATGAGAAAATAAAACAAGAAATCAATGGCAATAAACCCCCTGCTCCCCATAGCCTTGTAGTCCAGACTGCATAAATGTCCATGCTTGAATCCCTGACTGTACTGCTGGCCAGGCCTCCTCAGGCTCTTCCCCCTTCCTAGGCTGACCTGCCTGCCTCAAGCAATGAAAACTCTTTGGATTTGCTCCTTCTTAGTCTGCAGCCCCAATTGTATTAACCTAGGCCCTGCCCTGCCTTCTTCAGTTTGCTTGCTGACCACTCCCCCCACACACACACACAATGAGAGGGAACTACAGGCAGACATGTTTACTCTCATTACATCTCACTTCCCAACCTTTAAAATCTGCAGGATCCAGGACTCTCCAGTGTGGATGCTGACCAACCTTTGGTGGAGGTGCCCACCCACACATATACTGGTAGGATCCAAACCCATGGTATAGACAAATTCAGCCTGTCAGAGCCCCTTTAGGCCATCTGTGAGGCCTAAACATGACTGGACATGTGATGCTGGTGGGTTCACACACCTGCAAAGGAGAGCAGATGTGCTCTCGTGCATACAAGACCCAGTGGCCTAGCCAGCCTCTGAGGAAGGTAGATGGGCTCCCTGGCTGTACCAGTACTCAGATAGCAGTGTCTCACTGGATCTTTATGTCTCCACATAGAGACACTGTTCAGAGTATCCAGGGCTGTGCTAAGGGGCCCTGATACCTGCCTGGGAACAAACAGGTGTATGTGACATCTGAATCCACTCAACCTATGCAGGCCAACTCCCACGCCCAACCCACATGTGCTGCCACCAGATTAGTGCTCTGGTCTGAGCTTATGGTGTCCATTTGTCACACAGGCCTGCCAGATTCCCCAGATCCTTCCAGTGTGAAGACTCTTCACAACCAGAGAGCTTTGAAGAAGATGGACTGCTGTGCTTGTCTATGGTGGGCTGTCTCTCAACTCCCCCTTACCCATAGTCACATCCCCCACCTGGTAGACTAAAGGCTGGTGTTTGTCTTTCAGTGGAGACCCAGCCAAAGGGGCCTGGGAGCACCTAGCCAGGGTCCAGCAGCTGCTGGAAGACAAGGAGCAGGCGCTAGCCATTCTGCAACAGATAGTCCAGGTATGGCCCACCTGGTACTCTTTCTGCTTGGATATTCTGTGAGCTACAGAACTGGGGACACAGAAAAACTCTTCTTTTGCTTTCTCCAGCCCTTTTTCAGCACCCACAGTCCAGTCCTCACCTGAGTTCCTATGGTGCTGGCTCCAACTTGGTGTGGGGTTTGGTGGTAGGTAGCAGACAGGGCCCTGACCAGGACCCACATATAGTTTGATTATCTAGAAAATAGTCTGTGGAATATTTCAATCATATCCAGAAGCAAAAAAAAAAGTATGTTGTCCTCCACCACATACCCACTGCCTAACTGGCTGATCAATCTTAGGTCCACATGCCAGGGCTACAGACAAGGCATGAGCACAACCATGAATGCTGGGTAGCAGTGTGGGCTGGGGCCTGGGTCCAGGAACAGAAGGTACTCTCTTGCTGGGCAAGCACCTGGGAAGTGAATGGGGTGGGGTTACTGGCTGGAGAGCTTCCTGCCTGCCCCTTACTCCAGCCTGAGCCTCCTCCTCCCCATCTCATCAGGCATTGTGGGGAGGTTGCTCAGCCACAGTCCTGGGTCCTGGGAAGCACCACTCAGCCTGGAGGTCTTTGGGAGCACTCATACATGGGGATCACCTGGTCCTGTGTTATACACCTGGCTTTTGTGAGCTACACCTGGTTCTACTGACAGACACCTCCACTCTGCTCTTTCACCAGGGGCACTGAGGGTTCTTGCATGCAGGAAGCCCCTTATGACCTCTTGCTTCTCCCCTGCCTTGGCAGCATAGGACCCAAGACAGTGTAAGTTAGTGGCCAGTGTACGTTGGATGGACTTCAGGGTCAAAGGGGCTGTCAGAAATTGCTGAGGTGGTATTCAAATGTTGATGAGTTGTCTTCTTGAGAATACAGGAAAGTGATATCATTGTGTGGCTTTGGATTTGCCACATGTCAGCAAAGAGGAAGCTGTAAGAAGAAATGAAGCTGCTTGGCTCCACAGGTCATCCATGGCCCCTTGCTGTCCCACCTGTGGGTCTGGCCCCCATGTTCCAAGTGAATCATAGCTATTTCATAAGACCTGGAAAGGAAAAGCTCAACCTGCCGTTTAAGGATTGAAACCATTGAGTGCCATTTGCCTAATTGTTAGTGAGATACACACCTTGAGGGCAAAGAGGATTCCTAGGGGAATTACATGGTGGTGGGCAGCAAGCTGGAACATATGGTCTGGTCATGCAGGGGAGAGAGCATCACACTGCAGCCTCAGCCACCCTGCCCTTTCTTATTTGTCACTGAGTGAGGGACAGCAGGAATGTGGTCAGGATACGGGCATGTGTGCTGGCTATGGATGCAGTGACACACTGCCTGCAGGCTCAAGGAGGAACTTCTTGCTTGGTCTTCTGAGAGCCTGACTCCCCACCTCACCATCACATTCAGCCTGTCCTCTTGTCAGAGTGCTGACCACCTTGTGGACATACTACATGTGAGGCAGATCAGCCTTTTCTAGTCTAGCTCTTCTGACTCCTTACTGAGAAGTGTGATATGGTTTGTGCTTCCAGTGGGGGAAGGCTTGGGACATGGTCATTCTTGAATCAGGCATGGAAGGCCGCAGACAACCCAGTTAAGCCCTACTGTGGCCACAGTATCTGAGATAGAACAGCTTGGGGAGGCCAGGGCTTCTCAAGCAGCTCTTTCTGCACCTTTATTCTTCATTCAAGGTTTTTTTTTTTCAATTGCCGACTTGCAGAAGCAAACATTGAACAGACTTGCCAACTGCAATGCATTCATTCAGTTGATTGTTAATTCAGCAGATATGCCTTGAGCATCTGCCAGGCCTTGGGCACTGGTCTCACAGTAGTGAGGGGCTCAATCCTGTCTGGTTCTACATCCTGTCCTTTCAGCTGGTGCAGGGTACCAGGCTGAGATGCCAGGAAGGCTCCCAGAGTAAGCAAGAAGGGATTGGGAGGAAGAAAACCAGCCTCTCCAACCCCTCTTCCCCATTCCAGGTCCCTCTCTATGGGACCTTTCCCATGGGGCTTAATGTCTATCTCTTCTAGTGACCACATGAGACAGTCTTTGGTCCTGCCTCCAGCACTGTGACCTTCCAGGAGGGCTGGCTAGACTCACATCCTCAGGGGCTGAAACTATGTGTGGCTCGGTTCTGGCAGATAATGGCGCTTCTTTGGGTATTGCTGATATTCTTCAAGCCTGTGTGGTTTTTTTTAAAGATTTTGCAGATGAAGGTGGTGAGGTTGGAGCACCTGGTACAACTGAAGGACCAGCGGATTGAGGAGCTGATGAGACCTGGACCTAGGGAGTGACCCTGCCCTGAATCCACCTGGAGCCTCTGCCAGCCAGGGCTTCTTCCACACAGTCCTGCACTACCCTGTCCAGAGGTTCAGAGTGGGCACAGATGTGGGCTCTGGGACTACTGGGGCTACTTGTCCCAGGGGTTTTTGCTGAGCATCACTGGTATAGACAGAGATCGAATGTTCCCTCCAGCCCTGTGATGGCTCCTCATTGCTTCATTTGTGAGCACATGAAGCCTCACTGTGTGCAGTATCTGGGGCTTGGGGTCACACTACCCAGAGTGGGTGGGGACCACTGTGGTCAGCCATGTGGCTCTGGAATAACAACCACCCTGGAGTCTGAAGAAAATTCCCCTGACAGGGGCCCAGGCAAGTTGTGTCTGCCTGTGCTTGCTGAGCCATTCTACTGAAAGGACATGAGGACAGAGGAGGACCCAGGAAAGTGCCTCCAGATTTGCCCTGGAGATTTTGGGGCAAAATTAGGTGTAGCTGAGACCTGGCCTGGCTGGCTACTGTAGGCTGGATTTCTCCTTGGGCCCAGACCCTGGCTGCTGCCTTCTTGCCTCCAAGATGACCCCCCGCCCGCCAAGGCTCAAGAGCGTTGATGTGTCCAAGAAGCTCCCAACCCTGAGGGGGCTTGCAGGGTTGCATCCTGCTGGCTTCTGAACCCAGTCACGTTGCTCATACATCCACAAATGCCACTGGGGCAGAGCCTGGTAGGATGAACTGAAGCCCCCCACAACCTGCATCATCACAACTGCCCTTCCGCATGGGTTCAGCTTTCCTCTGCGCTCCTGGGCTGAGCCCTTGCAGCATCTCAGCTAGCATCAGAAGCCACAGGCTTTCATCAGGATTTCAGAGCTGCCTCCAGAGTCTTAAGTAGCCCACTTCCTCCCTGAGTCAGAAGGCACAAGTGAGAAGGCATGTTTCGCAGTCGCTGTCACCCACCCTGATCATGAGTCACCATAGTAGTCAGGAAGATGGCTTCCCAATAACTGGCTCTGTCCCCTCTGGTCAGCTGGCTGGGGCAGCCTGGTGCCTGGAGCCTTGTTTGGAGCCTTCCTGAGTCCCAGGCAAGGTGGGCCAGGCAGAGGGACAGCTCTGTGCACCTGGAGCCAGTGTCAGGAACGGGAATCTTTTCCTAAAACACTGGAGAGATCCCTTCAAATTGGGGGCCTCTACACTGTCAGACTTGAAGCTGTCAGTCAGGAAATCTCTTGGGAAGGGCCTGGGCAAGAAAGCCAAATCAGCACAGGCCTACAAAGATTCAGATCTAGCCTTGGTTGCCCTCCCCAGGGTGACCCTGGGAGCTATGGATGTTCTGGCCCCCTCCCTGCTCCCTAGGGCAGTGATAGCAAAAGGCCAGCTGTTCTGCTTCAGGTACTCCAGGCATGCCCACACATATTCACGTGCATGCACAAACTCATGTATGTGTCATACATAAATTCATGCACATGAGAGCTGGTTGGCTCCTTATAGAGGCAGAAGAACTGGCACCCTATAAGAAGTAGGCTTAGAAGGAAGAGGCTGTTTTGTGCACGTATGTGTTTGTGTTTACATGTGGCACTGTGTGTATGTGTGTGTGATACTACATGGCTATACATGTGTGATGCTGTGTGACACTGTGTATGGGTGACTGCAGATAGGTGACTGTGCACATGATATTGTACATGGGTGTGGATGCATGTGTACTGGCCAGTGGAGGTGGCTGTGTGGTGGTCTCAAGGGATAGTAGAGGCAGAGGCAGGGCCAGGTAGGCTGATGGGTCATGGCCCTTAGTGCAGGAAGGATATACTTCTCACTTGTCCAGCTTCTGCTTGCTAGGCCCTGTGGGTTGGGCCTGGGCTAGCTGCTGGGCTTTGAAATAGAGAGACAAATGTACCTTGGAAAATAAAAAACAAAGCCCAGTGATAACACTGTTCTGGTAATGACTTACCTCCTACTGGTGCATGTGCCATGCCAAGGACAGTCAAACAATGAACGTAGGTCCCTGATGCCCAGGAGCAAGGTGTTCATGCCCTAGGCACCCCTAAATGCAGGCCCTGGCTTGCCCACCTAAAACCAAGTCCTGGGAGTGCCTCTGCAGCTGGAGCCTGGTCCCAGGGGCTGACCAAGGCCCTAGGGCAGTGGTGGCAAACCTATGGCATGTGTGCTGCAGAGGGCTCTTTGTATCATTGAAATCTTTAAAAGGTCAGCCATCACTGCCCTAGGAAGTGTGGAGCAGCCAAGGTGGGGCTATATTCTGCTATGCAGGGCCCTGATTCAGGGGCTGGAATCCACGGGGCACATGGAGCCAGGACACCTTCCCCTGCAGTGACCTGAGGGAAGCCACTTGGCCATGCCAGAGGAGGAACCAGGACATCACAGCCAGCCCCACAGCAGCATCTGCTTATATTCAACCCCTCACAAGGTGTCAGACTGTACACAGTGAGCCCCTCCCTGACTCTGGCTGTGTGCTGGGGGACTGCTTCTCCCTACTGCCAAGCCTTGCCTTCAGCCAGCATAGACTCCAGGACTGAGAACTCAACTCGGGCTCACAGGTGTAGGGTTCCTCTGTTCTTGTCCCTGGGTGGCCATGACATCACTTGACTTCCCTTTCTGAGGTGGTATCCTGTGTTTCCTCTGGAGAAGCAGCAACTCTGTGTCTGGGGGGCTTCCACATAGGACTCCAGGATTGAGGGATTGGAGCCACATAGGGAAGGCAGGTTGCCTGCCTCTCTTTGAGCACCTGCTACCTAAAGCACTGGCTCTGGCTAGAAGACACCCACAGTCTGTGAGGCTGGTGGGGGAGGGGCCATCTGGAGGATGGCAGGATGGCTGGGGCTGCCCATATGGGAGCAAGTGGTTGGTGTGGCTGCATAGCTTGGGTCCTCCTGGGACTTTTCAGATCTGAGGACAAGTGAACCATGAGTTATCACCACCCCATTTCCTTAAACATTCACAGCAAGCTCACTGTAAGGCCTGGCATGGTTTCAGAGGTTCCTGGATCCTTCTTTGGGGAGGGTGGGCCTCAGCAGAGCCCATTCCTCACTGTAGTCCCTCCCACCCCCACCCCCGCACCAGGGCACATGCCTCTTCCCCTAAAACCAGGCCAAGACTACCTGATCTTGGGCTCTTGAGGCCAGTGCTTCAGGGACCTCAAGAATATTTGATGTTCCAGGGCATCTGGGCCCAGATTAAGGGGCCTTCAAAGGGTGGCTGAAGACCCACCATCTCCCACACCTAGAGCAGAGGCACCTGCTTCCTTGGCAGAGATCAGATTCAAGGAGGTTGCTAGGAGTCTGGTACTTGGCCTGGTCTCCAAACCCCCCAGGAAGTGAAGAGTGAAGTGCTAGCTTTACCACATCTCTGTGGCTGCTTATGCAAATACTGTATCCGGTTTCAGCTGTAATTCAGAGAAACCCCAGTAATATTGGGGTGAGGAAGAACCCAGGCTTCAACCAGCAGGACCCAGCAGGTGTCATTTCTCACTCGGTAGAAGTTCCTCACATTAATTCAGAACATATATAATTAGGAGCCAGGCTGGTACAAAGTAGGGCAGAGCAACATGCTGGGTGGAGGCACAGGACTGAACAGGGTTCAGTGGGGCAGCAATGTGGCTGAGGAGGAGTGACACCTCAGTCTGCCTCTTGCCTGTTCAACCCCTGCACCCTGATGGTCCATCTGTCCTGATGTTTCCATTTCCTGCTGCTTTGCTTTTTCATTTTTCTAATTTATTGAGTTATTCCTGCTCTGTGATGTAAATAATATGGAAAATCTAGAATGAATTAAGTTTCTGCCAAAAAGGAGTCATAACGGAAGAAATCCTGGAAAGGAAGGCAGTACCAGTAGGGAGGTAAGTTCCCAAGCCATAGGCCCCAGGTCCTTGTTCATCATTGACCAACATGCTATTTCCAGCATATCAAGGCCTTTCTTGAGACAAACTATTCCAACAGGCTCTGGATGAACTCCAGACCCTGACCCCAGGCCCAGGCCAGCAAGGAAGGATCGCCTTAGATTAAAAACAAAAAGGAAAGGTGCTTTGCTCCCCACCTAAAAGGTAGATTTTCTGTCCTTGCTAAATGTATCCTAATCACTCAAAATCCTTTTCAGGAGGAATTTTGAGATGCACAAAGGTGTGAACTGAACTGCATAGGAACTCCTTGCGCCTCAGGCATATCTGCAGAAACCTGAGTCGCTTCCTTATTTGAAAAATGGGGCAATGCTGGTGCACACAAGGTGTGGGTGACTCCTGTGGGTCCAGCCCCAACACAATACTCCCTGAGGTGGCCAGCTGCCCTTCCAGCCTGTGTTGAGCAGCGTGCCCACGGGCACAGGGCGACCCCATGTGGCCAGTATGGTCATCTACCTTCATTCTGTTGAGTTTGTTGACACTAGTTGGCAAACAGAGCAGCTCTAGGTTTTACCAGTGAGCATGCCTTGTTTTCCTCATTTTGCTGCTTTTTATTTCCTCCCCTTCTCAGTAGAAAGGACTGAGGAGGCTCATGCAAATGCTGACATCAGCCAGAAATTTGCAAGGACCCTGGGGAAGGCACCTGGAACTCAGAGCCTCTCCAGTGTGGGTAGGCACAAGGGAAAATGAGTGTTGGTCCCTACTTCACCCCTTAGTAGCCCTTGGCCTGCTTTGTAGACACCTCGCTGAGGCTGGTGACCCGATTCTCAGAGGACTACATAGGCTACTGATGCTTTGCAATGACGGAAAAGTCCTTTTAAGCAGAGCAGTGATGGGCCAGTCCTCATGCTCTCAAGGACTCAAGACAAGCATTGAAGGGCTACTTTCAGCCCACTGTGGTGCCAGTCTCCTCATATGGTTCATGCCCTCAGGGAGGGAGAGTGACAACCAAGATGGATATGGTGTTTGGCCAGGGAGGAGGACTTCACCCGAATGACTTCTGAGTGAAGACAGAAGACAATGACCAATGACTGACAGAGAAGCAGCAGTTGCAAAGCCCCTGTGCCAGGGCCACCCATGACACCAGGTGGTGGGAGAATGGAAGCCAGAGGGAAGGGTGGGCAAGCAGGTGTGGATGAAGGGAATGCTCTTGACACTACAGCTGGGACACATACTAGAACTCCAGAAAGTGTGATGGGGGACCCCAGAGTCAAGTCTGTCTTGAGGGTGCAGTCAGGACATGCTGGCATCCAGACAGTGGACATTCTCAGCTGGGAGTCAGGAAAGGGTTCTCTTTAATAACTGGGCATATGCCCAGCACTGGGAGGGTGAGGCAGGAGAATCGCTGTGTGTTCAAGGCCAGTCTGAGCTACATAGTTCAAGGCCAGCCTGAACTGCATAGCAAGACCCTGTCTCAAACTCTGCCCACCCCCCAGTAAAACTCCAAATCAAAAAACAAAGCTGGGTGTATGGCACTGCAT